CTTCATAGGCAGTGATTTTACGATATCTGCCATCGTCCTTGGCTTATCTCTTTTAGGGATGTTTCCAAGCACTGGAGTCTCATCTTTTTTTTCTTGATCCTGTATTTCGTCTTTTCTTCTTTGCTGCAATTTAGATTTCCTCTTGCTTCTTTTGCTTTGAACGACTTCGAAGGTTTTGTTTTCCTTCTGGTCTAGATTACAAGAATAAACATTGTTTGCCTCCTTGGAAGTTCCGGCTATGGCTGCAGGCGGATGCTGGATTGTCTTATCTTCCTCCGGTAGCCTTGTTTTCGGTTTTTCCAAAATTTGGCTACTGATGAGTTCAAGTACATATGGAGATTCCAATGTTTGTTTAACCACTTTTTGGACAGGTGATGTGATTTTATCTTCTTTGTATTGATCTCTAAGTTCCTTGGCTGTATTGTAAGTAACCTCAATAATACCAACTAATTTTTCGATTTTATCATTAATATAATTCCTCGTTGTGTTATTCATTTTTTTGTCAAAATTTTCGAGGAACGTTTTTAGGTTGCTTTGAATGCTTCTTGCCTCATGCAAGAAGCTCCTTTTACTCCCTTCTTCCGTTTCCTCGTCGGTGTCAGTCGATCTGTTTCTTGGTCGTTTGGCCGACGACCGATGATCCTGATTTGTACTTCCTTCGATAGACACTTCTTCCATTTTGGAACTTTTACTATCCATCATAAAAAAATACGTCGATTATTTGAAATATAATAATATTTCAATATTTAATTAACCTAAATAAATTTGATACGGTGGGAAAAATGTTATTGCACAATCTACTTATATAAACGAATATACAGTCTTACCTGAAGCCCGTTTATAATATTTCCCGAATTGTCTGTAGTATTCTATACTTTAGGCGTTAAACACTTCGTTGATAACCACTTGGTTACCTAACCTATAAAGTTCTTCTTATCACAAAAATCCAATTAAAAACAATAAATCATAACTGTAAACTAACGAAAACTATAAATAATAACGACAAAAACGATAAACAACACAAATATAAACACTTAAACTAATAATAGAACACAATAATACATAATAATTGGCATAAACACAAATTGACACCTTATCACATCAAGCTACAATCGATTTATAAAACTACAGTAATGTTCAACCTTACAACTGGATCATTTTTACTTCTGTATTTTCACATCTAGCCTATCTTACATCATATCTGGTAAGGGCCCCATCCCTACTGAAAAGGACCCGTTGGGAGTTTGTTAATTAAATAGTGTTAAGTATTTTTATCAAATTATTAAAATCCACCTAAAACTTCGTGAATAGCTTCATCTCAACGTAATCAACAACTTTTTTATTTATGAAAATTCTCGAAATTTTCCAAGTATTCAATCATTCGAAGTCTTCAATCTGGAAATCGGCAAACTTTGACTATTTAATACTAAAAACTCATAAGCACTAATTTGCTTCCCACTTGAGTGGTAAGATAATTTTATCACAAAATCAAGAATAAATGTAGCCTACAAGATATTACATAACCATTTAACATTACATTACTTAGTGAAGTACAAAATCAGTCGATTTTGGACTTTCAAAGCCTGGGGGTTTCTACTTCTCAAATGAATAACGAAGTTTCAAATATTGTACAGCAAGTTACACCAGAAAATCATATTTCTCAGGCATGCTCTATGTGCCACTTATCATTTAAAAATACATCAATAAAATTCATACATCAAAGAGGTACCCGCTAGAAGCTAACCGAATTAAACTTAGGACTATTGAGAATCAAAATGTAAATAAACGCGATGAACTATCATCAGAGAGTGTAATTTAACTGAAAATGAAGAAGTGGGCAACCACATTTAAAGATCAGCTCAAAGCTTCTTAGGATACAGACAACATTAATAAAATTATGAATGATTTCCATAATTTCCTAAGAGAAGCAAACAAAGCTCTTCCAGATCCGAAACGCACAGCAGTACGCTTTTATCAGATGCCTAGAAATGAAGAGCAAGAGGAGAAAAAAAGATCAGTAATCCTCAAAGACCAAACAAGGCTGCCAGAGAGAGGAGGCGAGAACAGCTACTACCACAATTGTAGAAAGGTGGTCCAGTATATAATGAACGAGGACAGCCCAAAGCAATGCCCTATCAAAATGGAGATAATTGAGACTCATCACTTTATCAGACAAAATCACTTTATAAAAAACGAAATTTTAAAGGAGAGTTATGCACCCTCTCCCAACATACCGAATTTAGGAACATTATACATAAAGGATGTGCACAAAGCAATAAAGAATATATCTCTAGGCACTTCACCAGGTCCAGAAGGAGTTCTGATAAGAACAATAAAAAAGCTTGGTATCTCACATATTATTAAAACGATTATGGACATCGTTCTGAAATTCATTATGCCCCACAGATTGCCATTGCCACACGTTGCCTTTTTTTAAGTAAAGGGTGCCAATGACGAAATTTCTTAATGGAGACCCATCACAATTTATCCAGTCATACGGCGTATCATGGAAAAAGTTTTTGACTGTGAGCTACGAAAGCAAATCTCTTTTCATCCTAACCAGAGAGATTTTGTGCCTGGACAACTGGGATGCCACATAAACGCAAGAATCCTTGAAATGATTCTCAAAGATACCAAGAGCAAACAAGAAGAGGCAGCTGTCGTGTTCCTTGATGTGACAGGAGCATTCGACAACATTGGCCAAAGCAGCCAATATCTTGAAGTCATTGGAAGCCAAAGGTGTTTTGTCTGACCTAAGAAGGGCAATTGAGGCCAATTTCTACAATTATAATAGAGGGCATACTGTGCACTAACATGGTTAGGGTAAATATTGTGGTCAACAAGACCGCACCAATTCATGTGCTGAGAAGTGTACAGCAGAGTGGACCACTTTCACTGGCATTATTCAATTTGAGTATTGACTCACTGTATACAGAACTTTGCGATCCGAAAGTTGCAATGGAAAACAGTTATAAGTTGGATCATGGCCATGACCCTGTTCTGCTTACAGGTTTAGCAGATGACCAAGCGGTTACCACTCATAATGTTTAATCGGCAAATCGTTAATACTCAAAAAACTTCTGGCATTATATTGAAGAAGGGAAGATTGATAAGGTCAAAGTTCTGCTTAGATACCGGGGAGGAAATAGGGTCAGTTGAAGAAGGTGACACCACCAACCACCTTGGATATCGTTTCTCCGGTGAGCTGGAATTGGATGATAGTTCTGTGGATAGGAAGAGTCAAAATATGGAAAACTAGTTAAGTCGAATCTTCTTAAGCTGGATCAGAAACTCAACATAGTAAACGGGTACGTATTCTCTTCTTTAATATATCCACTACAGACAGCACCATTGACGAAATTGCCTTCATCATTGTTGGAATCTGTGAATGTCATAATAAGAAGAAGTGTAAAGGTGATGATCAGTTTGCCAGCCAACTCGTGCTCTGCTATGATGTATGCTCCACAGCGCTACACAGATCTGGTTCTTTTGTGGTGTCAGCGGGAAGCTCCTCTTCAGTATTGGTCTATATTCCAAAAACTGGCAAATGTACCGGTGCTCTATTTCAGACGGTTTTTGATTTCAGGAGTGAAGTTCAAAAGTGTGTGGATTTGTTGAGATTCAAAGCAAATACTATAGCACCATCACTATCAGTAAGGAAAGTTAGGAGGCCCCTGCAGAAAAATCGTTTGAGGATTGGTGTAAATGTAAGTGGCAGTGAATAGATGTGCCACATTTTAAATCAAACCAATGGGCTAACAGATTTATGTATGACAGAAAGATCCTTATGGGCTCGGAGTAAATGAATACTTTGAAATTAAACATGAACTATGCTCCTCTTCGTGGAGTTCCAGGCAACGGAGGCCAGGCAAATTGAGATGTTGGCCTCTCTGCCGCAAACATGACCGAGAGCCAGAAACCGAAGCTCATGTACTGGACGAATTCCCGAATAACATGCTCCTTGTCACCCGCCGACATAATAATGTAAAGTATCAAATTGCCGAAATCCTAGATACGAAAAAGTATAGGTGCTTCCTTGAAGTATATTGCATAGATTCGGAAGGCTCTACGAGATTTGTTGATATCTTAGCCTTTAGTGCAAAAAGAAAAGAGGCACTGATAGTTGATCGTACAATTCGATTTGAAACAAACGATGAGGATCAAGATCTTAAAATACAAATAGAAAAAGAGGAAATTTATAAAAAATGCATTCCGTACCTGCAGGAGAAATACAGAGAGGAATTCGGTGAAAAAGAATACTCTGTTCGGGGACTGTGATTCAGGAGTAGATTAGCGATTCCATCTTCAACTGCTGTATTTTTGGAGAAGCTGGGTGTGGAAGGAACGATATTCAGAATATGGTGGAATCAATAATTTTGGACTCGGAAATCCTGCACCATCCCATATATTGATTCTGGGAAGTTCGTTATGAGCTCTACAGACAGTCTTGAGAAGGAAGAAAAGGTAACATTCGGTACTTTCAATAGTAGTCCTACAAAACTCTATCCTTTGCCCTCTCTCATTAAATATTATCTATTAGGACTGATCAGTATGCTGGGAAGTTGAGCAGCTGTACAATTGTTTTTCTTTTTTTCTCTGTATTTATAAAATTGATAAAAAGGAATTTTTACCACGGACTATAGTCTTATTATAATGCCTTTTGGGTATAACTAATATAACAAATAAGATTCGAAAGCAGAGATGTAATTTAAGTTAAATAATGCCCTGGTTTTAATTGAAAAGGGCAAGTAAGGAGTCTGCTGAGTACTGAATCACAATCTAAATAATGGGAGGTTATACTATCAATATGTAGTCAATCTTTGGCTATTCTTGGACTCCCATTTATAGTCTGATCATAAGATTTTGGTCAACTCAACTAAGTGGAGTGACAATTAATTTAATAATTCATTAAAATTTATTATAGTTTCCAGGTTATTTTAACTTAAACTTTGAGTATCTGACAACACTAACACTCACAAATTATAAAACAGATTACTTACGAATAGATTCAGGTTCTTCTTCCATTTCTTCTTTTATAGAAACACCACAGTTAGCCATACCTGAAAATGTAAACAAAAGCAATATATAAATAAATGTTATAGAAAACAACTTTAACATGGGTAATCTTTGTAAAATTTGAAAGTTAGATAAATAACACAAGAAGGGATAGTAAAAGAAAAATTAGATTCAAACAGAATTGTTAAAAATATGCTAGCACTCTTAAAAATATTTCCCTGTGCTTATGGAATAACCTATTCTCTAAATGATTTGAAAACTAGACAACCCAAAGAAGGGATAATGAAGCAAAAATTATATCCAAATAGAACAGTTAAAATCATGTTATTCCACTAAACTGGAATGTTCCAACTTGCAATATGAATCATCTTTACCTCGGTATTGTTTACAAAAACCTACAATTATTTGAACAATAGTAGTTTTAATAAAACTACTAAAGTCAATGGGCATAGCTATTAAAAAATTTAAAAAAAAAAGAATCAATAAATTCATAACTCATCTCTAAGTAAATAAAGAACGCTGAGATTATAAAATGTTAATGCATCAGATATCTAAAATATAAATCATATTAACCAATTTCATCCATCGTTACTTTAATAAGTTAACAGAAAATATTTAAAGTTGTAAATAAACTTTATTCATGTCGTTCAATTAATGGAGGGAGATGTAAACTGCATAGATATAGGTAGAGATGGGCGATATTCGATAATACTAACGTTATATTGATAGTTTTAAACTATCGATAGCCCTATCAATATTTCTAGTTACTAACGATAGTTCGTATCCTTTCCTTAGACACAAATTATTTTAAAATTTTAAACACTTAAAGGAACAATTTTAATAACACGCCTTCATACTTCTTTCCGTTTATTGATGGACAAGTTATAGAGATAATATATTAATATTAAAGTTAAATGTTTCATAATGGAAAATTGTTATTGTGTTATACAAAAAGCCACATTAAGAAAATAAATGGATGGAGGTGTGAAGACATGTTTAAAGATATCGTTATCAATTAAAAACCTTAAACAAAGTTGAACAAGAAGAAGTCATGGTAAAAAAATAATTTAATCTCAAATTACTTTCTCAGAAATATTTGTATACCTCCAGTGGTGCTGAAGGAAAAAAAAATGTTACATTTACCTCACCTTTTTTATTTTTTTCATAAAAAATATATTTGTAAAATCTACAAAGATGCGATTACAGTTGTATTATATTTAAAACTAGATGCTATTATCAAACTAAATTTAGAAACTTAGAATCTTGGAAATTAAAAGACCTAAGCATTTCTGGGCTCCTTTTTTTACTAAATATGAGGAGTTAGTCGAGGGTGCGGTCAAATAAATAAAAAATTAAAATATATTAATAATTTAATTTTTGCTGACGTTTCGATCCACTTTGCAGATCATCTTCAGGGCTACAAAAGATACAAAACATGTTGAAAATAAAAAATAAATATAAGTATATATAAAATAAGAAGAAGTTGTCAGATACAGAAATAAAAGATGGTATCAGAGATATAGTGGGTGACAATGTAGTTAAATATTAAGAATTATATATGTAGAAGATACAAATAAATGGAAAATAAGTAGGAATAAAAATAAAAATAAAGGAGAATATAGCATGTAAGTTTATTTTTATTCCTATTCATTTTCCATTTATTTGTATCTTCTACATATATAATTCTTAATATTTAACTACATTGTCACCCACTATATCTCTGATACCATCTTTTATTTCTGTATCTGACAATTTCTTCTTATTTTTTATATACTTATATTTATTTTTTTTTTAGGAAAACTAAGTATATGAGAGTTGGTGGTGAGGTGGATTTGAACTCTCCATTTGAGGTAGGTTCTTTTAAGTTTGAGAGAGTGAAAAGTTTTATATACCTTGGGTCTGAAATTAATAGCAAAAATGACATGGCTCAAGAAATACAATGAAGGATCACGGCTGCCAATAGATGTGTCTATGGACTTGGCCGACACTTAAGAAGTAGGTACCTCTCAAAGAAGACCAAGCTGATCATATACAAGACTCTTGTTCGGCCTGTTTTGACATATGGCTCAGAGGCTTGGACGATGACCAAACACGATGAGATGAAGCTGAGTGTGTTTGAGCGAGGAGTCCTCAGAAGGATTTATGGTCCAGTAAAGGAGGGTGATGTCTGGAGGAAAAGAAAAAATAGGGAGCTCATTTCTCTCTATGCATGTGGCCAGAATGAGCACCGTTGAGATACCCAAGAAAATAATGATGGAGGAGCTGCACCTCGCAAGACGGGTAGGAAGGCCGAGGACGAGGTGGTTGGACAATGTGGCCTATGATGCGAGAACCCTGCTTGGTGTACGGAACTGGAGAGCTGCAGCAGAAGACAGAGCCAACTGGCGGAGGCTCTTGGAGGAGGCCCAGTCTCGGTAACGGGATGTCGTGCCACACATGAATGAATGAATGAATATTTATTTTTTATTTTCAACATGTTTTGTATCTTTTGTAGCCCTGAAGACGACCTGCAAAGTGGGTCGAAACGTTGGCAAAAATTAAAATAATTAATATATTTTAATTTCTTATTTATTTGAACGCACCCTCGACTAACTCCTTCTCATATTATATCAACGGTCAACCATCTCTACATCTTTTTACTAAATAGTTAAAAAAATACTACTTATATGTCGTCGATGTTACTTTTTTGAATTCTACTATTAGGAAAGTAAATGCAAGTTATTTTTCTATGTAAATGTATTTTTCCGTCAATAATTTTTTGAATTATTTATTTAATATTGTTTATTAGTGCCTTATCATAAATCTTTATAGATGTATCCCATATAAACGTTAATTATTATAAAGTTTATGTAGCATTTTAAAGTAAATAAAACTAAAGAATACAGCGAAAATAAATCCTTTTTAAGTCTGTAGGGAAGTTACTGAACTATCGTTACTATTGATAGTTTTTAACAATACTATCGAACTACCGATAATGGAAAATTGTCAAGTATCCCATTTCTGTCTAGGGATCAGTGTTTCCACTCCAATTTTAAAAATTTCTCTTCTGCAAATTTTAATTTTTCATTTTTTTCCTAAATCAGAACCCAAAAATCCCTTTATTTTTCCCTTTCACCAAATATTTCTATTTATATATATAACTTTTTTTTCCAATCCCTCTTGACGTATTGACTTCCGTCGTTAGTCCTCTAGCAACTAGGAGGCTGTCCTTGGCGACAGCTGTGATCGTTTTTGTTCTCTTATACTCCTATTTTTTTTTCTGTTCTTCTCTACTTCGCTTTATTTAGGATATACGGGGTTCTCCCGAGCCGAGGGGTGAGGGCAGCGAACTCGTACTTTTTAATCTCTCATAACTTCGGGTTATCTGGTTGCCGGGCAACTCGCGGTACAGGCGGATCTACGGGGGGAGGGCTTTCCGGCTGAAGCCCTCCCCCCCAATAGTAAAATATAACAATATTTTATGAAAAAACTTATCTCTAAAAGCATTATTGTTCATCTAATTACATTTAATAGGACTTAGAGAATCACTTAAACACCATTTCATATAAGTAGTTAGTTTCTTTCTTTCTTCCGAAGTAATTATCCTAAAATATACATACAAAAAGAAATCTTTCGGGCTAAAGCCCCCAAAATTAAATCCGTTAGTGACTCGCGGTGCAGTTCACACACGTTAGCCCATTCGGCCACCCTGCCTCTCTCTTATACTTGTATAGATATCGTTTTTCATTTTTTTTTTTTTTTTTTTCCGTTCTCCCCTACCTCGCCTCTTTAGGCTATACGGTTAGGGAGCACGGGGTTTATAATAACCGTATACACGGGCGGATCTACGGGGGAGGGGGTGCTTTCGGGCTGAAGCCTCCCTCCTGCCTCTCCCCCCCCCCCCTCTTCTCTCCCCCAAATGGTAAAATATAACAATGTCTTATGAACAAAATATTTAATAATTACCTATAAAAGTGTTATTGTTCGTGTAATTACACTTAATAGTATTTAAATAATCACTTAAACTCTATTTTACATAGGCAATTAATTCCCTTCTTTTTCTTCCTACGTATTTATCGTTATATATATATATTTTAAATCTTTCGGGCTGAACCTCCCCCAAAAACTAAATCCTGGATCCGCTAGCCACCGGACGCGATCACTAATCACTCCCTCTTCATCAGGATGGTTAGTAAACTTTTTTTTAGACTTCTCCATCCTTGTATTTTACGGAATAGGGTTAATGACCCTGTACCCAACCCCCAATCTGGAGGATCAGGAGCTATGTTGTTGAAAGACGCAGGAGTCGCTCACCTTTCTGTGAATCTCAGGGTGGGGACGATATCATCCCCATGCGGGAATCGAACCCGCGCCGTAGTGGTCTAAGCAATCGAGTAGGGACTGCATATATTTATTTTTATTTTTATTTATTATTAATTATTTTTAGCTAATTTTTTTTTTAAATCCCCCAAACAGGATTTAAACTCAAATCTTAAATTTTTTTGCACGGGCCTCAACTCGCTGAACGACCGCGGCTCCTGATTTGTATACCGGTCCCTACATGTATATAATATAGTATATAACCATTATTTATTAAAGTATTTAGGCGTTTATATTTTCATTAATTAATTGAGTTCTTAATAGATTAATTTACGGGCTTACCACTTAACAATAGCTGAAGTGATAGAAAAGGAATCACCGATACGCAATATCGGCCCTAGTATTTAATTTAAAAATCACATGAAAATAGAGGGAGTCCACGTCGGATTGAATCATCAAATCCTTTAATATGCAGATGGTATAGCTGAACTTTATAATTAAAACCAAACAAGAAGAGTACAGAACAATGCTGGAGAGCCGCCTTCAGTTAATAAATGGAGATAGTGAGTGAATTGGATACTCTTTGGAAAGAAATTAAGAATTGCATCATCGATACAGCTAGTGAAGTATGTGGTATTAAGAGAATGAGGCCGTCTACCAAGAATACAAAATTGTGGAACGATGAGGTGAAAAGAGCAGTAAAGCTCAAGAAGGATACTTGGAAAACATGCTGTAGAACGAAACTATCTATCCACCGGGAAGAATATGTAAGTACAGAAATGAGGCCAAATGAATAATTAAATCTGCCAAGACGAGGGGGAGCAGTTCGGTCAGGAGCCAGAACAAAATTATAAAGAGAATATAAGGAGATTCTGACATATTGCAAAAGCTCTGAAAGCCAAAAAGTCAAAATCGGTCAGAAATATAAAAGATGCAAATGGCAAGTTGGTGACTGAAGAAAAAGAGGTATTAGAAGTCTGGAGACAGTTCTTCCAGGAAAAAAATAGTATGGAAGAACACTGACGCCATAATCACAGAGAATGCAGAAGGAGAGTGATGGTGGAAGAGGTTTACCCGGAAGACTTGGGTGACACAATAGGCGAGGATGAGGTGGAAACGGCAGTAGCCAGAATCAAAATGAGAAAAGCACCAGGACCGGATGAAATAGCTCCAGAATTAATTAAATATGGAGGCAACGAAATGATCAAGATAATTCAAACTCTTTTCCAAAAGATTTCGGAACTCAAGCTGATACCACGAGAATGGGAGAACAATATCATAATCCCTATTCACAAGAAAGGCAGCCAAAGCGAATGCGAGAACTATAGGCCAATATGCCTCTCGTTAGTTGTGTGCAAGATATATACAAGAATTCTTGAACAGCGACTAAGGCATATAGTAGAGCAAGATCTAGAGGAGGAGCAAGCCGCTTTCATACCAGGCAGACAGACCCAAAACCATATATTCTCACTACGTATGATTGAGGAAAAAGCATGGGACCGTGGAAAATCGGTTTATCTAGCATTTCTGGGTCTTAGGGCCGCATTCCACTCAGTTCTGAGACAAGAGATATGGGACTCACTAATTAGAAGAAGAGTACCTTCAAACTTGGTGAGTGCTATTAAACCAATATACCAAGACCCAAAATGTGTAATAAGGCTCAATGGACATGCATCAGAACCATTCCACTTTTATAAAGGAGTAAAGCAAGGGGATAGTCTTAGTCCTCTGCTTTTTTATCCTTCTCATGGATGAAATTTGGAAGAAAGTGTGTAAAAGAAGAAACCCAAGGGCTGTTGTAGGATATTGGAATTTGACACCAGTGTTGGCTCAAGCTATGTAATATGCCGACGATATAATTCTTATAGCGGTCTCACAAGAGGCTCTACAGACATCATTGGTCGAGTGGGAAGAAGAATTGAAGCTGCGAGGGCTGCATATAAACCCGTCTAAGAGCAAGGTTATGTGTGTTGGAAAAGATAATGCGGAGCCTATGATGTTAAGTAATGGCGAACCACTAGAGATAACAAATGCATACACGTATCTGGGGACAATCATCAATGAAGATGGTAAAATAGACCAGGAGGTACTAAATCGGTGATGAAGGCCAATGGGATATATTACCAGATAGCTAATACAATCATAGAAAAACGGGAAGTAAGCAGAAAGGCCAAACTCACGATATATAAGGCGGTGTCCCTCCCAGTACTTCTCTATGGATCTGAAAGCTGGACAACCCTCGATAAGATCGTAGGCAGGATCGTAGCAGCGGGAATGAGATTCCTCCGAAGAATAGCTGGCAAAACTAAGAGGAACTGTGTTAGAAATAACAGAATCCGTTAGGAATTGGAGGTGACATCAATTCGTGGTATCCTGGAAGAGAAGCAGTTGAAATTGTTCGGGCACATCAGCAGAATGGATGACACCCGAATCGCTAAGTGGTTTATGGAAGCTAGACCGGAAGGCAGACGACCTCTTGGCAGGCCGAAACACACTTACCATGATTATATTAGAAAACTGGGCACAGCAAGAGGACGCACCATTCCGGAGATGAGAACACTATCCAGGGACAGAGACTAGTGGGCAAGATGGTCTGGGACTGCAGCTCCATGCTTAACGGCACAAAGGAGCTAGAGAAAGAAGAAGAAGAAGTATAGCTGAACAAATATAGTTTCTATATACAGATGACCCCCCGCGTCCGTATCCTGGATCCGTTCAGTGGCTTGATCTTCTTATTCCGTAAAAAAAGGTTTTAATGTACCAACTGGTAAACAATAATGAGTATTTGAATAATTAATTCTCGAATTTAACTGATTGTGATATAAATATAAAATAGTTTAAGTCCACTATTATATTTTTAATTTTTAAAGTATTTGAAACTGTAATCGTTTGCGATGAACTCAAATACTGAAAGTAATCATGATTAGATAGAACGAATACTGATGCATTAATGGATAACCAGTACTGAATATTATCGCATTTTTCACCGTGTACTGCCCAACTCTGAGACTTAAGGGGATGACCTAATCAAATGTTAATACATATTCGTGCTGTAATGTTTTGCACCGGCATTCACAAAATGCCGACATCTCTGTATCTCTATTTAGTAAAAATTAGAATTAAATTAATTTATTAAAACATGTCTTTATTGAGTAATATTGCATTCTATCTCATTCAAGGACACTAGTAAAGTAATAAGGATGAAATAGCTTAATTTGGAATTTAAAAGACAACAATAAATTATTTTCTGTAATATATAAATAACGAATTTTCTTCATTTGGCTGTTGGTGATTGTTGGCAAAATGACGATTTTCGTCATGCGGACGAATATATGTTAACATTCTGTTACATTAAGTTCAAGATGGGTGATCTAAGTTTACTTTCGGGTACACTCGGATTGTTTCGAGATTTCATCAACAGCTTATACTGTGACAGTCGATTTGAAGGGGGATTGCAAAGATGATGGTCATTAGCTTACCTAAGGTACACGCGGATCTACGGGAGAGGGGGAAGAGATTTCGGGCTGAAGCCACCATCCTCCCCAAAATGGTAAAATTAACCATATTTCATGAAAAAAATTATCTCTAAGATTATTATTGTTCGTCTAATCTAATTACATTTAATAGGACTTAAAGAATCACTTGAACACCATTTCATATAGGTAGTTAGTTTCATTCTTTCTTCCGAAGTAATAACCTAATATATAATTCAATCTTTGTTATCATTCGTTCCTTACTGAGTCCCATAAATTACATATCCTATCATTTAATTAATAAAATCTAAATAATCTGTAATGAATCGTAAATAATTATCTGTATCAAAATATTTACTAACATGAAAACACCTGTTATCGTAGTTTTTATTTAAACCGAAGTATTATACATAGATTTTTGTGATGATGAAACCTTCTGGAACTATAAATTATTCCTAACAACAAACACAAAAATCATATTTGTTAATTAATAAAATTTATCAGAACTGTTAACACGAGTTCAAAAAATGGGTGTAGGGAACATAACCTTAAAATAAATAACAAAAAAAAAACACATTTAGCCTCAACCTCTTCATTTATTTTATTGTATCAAACTGAAACATTATTGTATTATTAAACATATTTTTGTATATAAGAGACCTTGCCAATTGGATAATCCTGTCTGATCGAAAATGACTTCTGAAAAACATTTTCTGAAAAATATTTCGAAAAAAATCACTTTTTCAATCTTCACAATCGAATAGTGAATGTGAAGATTTAAAAATTTTATTGACTTGATGAAACAATCAAAAGGGATCAAAGTGCTCCAAGTGAGGTGTTTATTGTGTCATGAAGCCTTGAGATATAGCAGGTTTGTGTTAAGGGAAAGTCGACAGCCACACTGCAAAAGCCTGTAAGTTCAATTTCTGGCCTGAAATGCTAACCAAAGAGGTTATTTAAAACATTAAATCCTTGTCTTAACCATTGAAATACTATAAATACAATTTCTGGCCAATCTTGGTATCGAACATCTTCGCAAGTGCTAACCAAATAGGTTATTTAAAACATTAAATTTTTGTCTTGCATTTGCAATCAAAATCGAACGAAATACCCAGATAACAAAAAATTATTTTATCTTATGAATAATATGACCTTTGGCACTTACTAGCTTTTGCAACATGGATGTCTTGTTTTTTTTAATTATTATTCGATGAATTATTGAAAGAATTAATATTTATCTATATCATATATTTTGGTAATTAGTAAAGTAGAATAAAGTAGAATCTATTCTGTTCTAGTAGAATACAAGGAACATCTATTCTATCACTCCACAATGCATTCCAATACAGAGCTATTAGAGGAAAAACTCAATAAATCAATAACATTTTAAACATATGTTTTTCAACAAGTACTGATCAGAGAAACTAGTCTCCTAAATTGGTCTTCTGGTCTTGACGACTACCTCAAGATTGCCACCTTGTACTTTTTTTTTTCTTTAACCACCTACCAGGCTATTTCTGGCATACGGGAGGGGAGAGAGACGGATATTATTCTACAGGTATGATAACTTAATCTAACTAGAGTGGGAAGCTCCGTGATCCGTCAGAATACACATTATACTCCCAGAGCGAATTCGTATATGCGCAGCTTTACTTTAGGATTGTTAAAGTTATGACGGCTCAACACTCTCAGCCACCACTTGCCCTTTCCGCCCTATACTCATCTGAATGAGAGATTCATTTCTTAAGACCTACGAGAAATAAATGCTATTAACATTTATTTCTCGTATTTATTTCTCGCCCATGTAGAGAAACAAACCCAATCCGTTCCGTTCCATGCACTTCGACCATCGAAACCATCACTCCGACGTGTTAAGTCGTCACGAAACGTGATCAATTAATATATGTTTGAAAGTTAAAAGGCATTAAAAAGTATTTTGAAGAACTTGTATATATAGTCCATTTATATGTTTAAATTTTCAGTACCTAGAAAACTTAGAAAGGTAAACAATAAAACATTTCTAATATTATAATTTTTTTTATCAAGCTGGCGCTACAACTTAATGTCTGTAAACTGAATCTCTCCAGGCTGGATATTTCTTCGTCCTAGAAACTTTAAGTTTCCCTTTTTTATATTGTTGCTATTTCATCTGTATACATTATAAATAGCCACGGGCTTATACTGTCACCTTGTTTAACCAATTTTGCTGTATTTAAGTAACTGGACTCCTGCCCATTTAGCTAAACTTTTGGGTGTTTGTATTTTGACTTTATAGCATCCCCAGACTCTTTGGAACGATCTTAACTCTGAGTGATTCCCATACTTCGTTTCTTGGAACATAGTCAAATGCTGGTTTTAGGTCGAGGAAGGATAAGTACATTTTCCTAAATCGGTCTCAACATTTCTGTATAACATTTCTCATAGTCTGGAGTTCGCCGTCCCAGCCAGGAGGCTTTGTTCATCTCAGTGGCTTATATCTCAGATATAAGATGTAAGACTCGTCTTACCATTATTTCTAAAATGGACTTTATTTATTATGTAGACAGCTGGTGAAAGATGCATGGACCTATAATTAAACTATTAAGTCTGTTACCCTTATTGTGTATGGTAATTACATTATATTCTCATTTTGTTGGGATCCTCTTCTTGGTTGGGTGTTGTATAGTAAAGGCGTAAAACCTGTTGGTCTTCAACGCCGTTAATTAAAATTATATATTATTATACCTTATGGTTGTGAATATTAGGAATTAGATAAATTTAAAAGATATAAAATGCACTTTAAGGTGAAAGTTGTTTTCGGTTATTACAGTTTAGTTATTTAAAGTTGCCACGTTAATAAAAGAAAAGAAAAAATATATAATAAAAAAAAAAAAAAAGGTAAAAGGATAAAAAGAGGTCGGAAGTGCTGCATGAGAGGTTCAGAGATTTTCAAAAATTTCTTCTTCGGAGAGAAAACATATGATTTTGCTTAAGATTTTTTACTTCCTCACTACCGAAGGTAGGGAAGCATTGTGTTCGTGCGAGAGATTAAAAAAATTTGTTTGCTCAGAATCGAAAATTTTCACTCGCGTTTTACGTTTCAGACATCAAGGATCAAATTTGGTTCGGTGTCTGTCTGTCTGTCTGTCTGTAGTCAAATCGATGTGACGGGCATATCACCTAGTACCGTTCATCCATTCTTCATGAAATTTTCAGGGATTATGCTGATTGGTGCCTAGATGGTCCCATATCAATTTTATCAAATTCCATCCAGCACTTCCGCTTACGCACGCGCAAACGTACATTTTTAGATATGTCAATATTTCAGAAAGTGCTCGTTCGATTTGGCTCAAAGTTAGATAAAAGGTAGACTTTGGTGAAAAAATAATGTAGTGTCAATTTCATTGAATTTTGTCCAACACTTTCTCTTATATGTGCACTACTAGTCCGCCGTCCGCCGTCCGCGCATTTTTTCTGAAACTACTAGACCGATTTTTTTCCAATTTGGATATAAAATCAGAGGTCACCCGAGGATCATCCTCCTTCAACGACATTACTATTCGCCTTCTAGTTTCAAAATGGCGGCCGAAAAACCTGCGTTGCTATAGACTGTAGCGCCTAAACGAATGTACTGAATTTTATGAAACTTCGCTAAAGTCATTTTCTCTACGCCCTCTAAATTTATCTATACTACATACTTCAACGAAAAGAAGCTCAAAAAAAGTTACGAGGCATGGTAAAATTAAATTCCGAATAACTCAAGAAGTATACACATTTATGTGAATATTGAAATATGTTTTTTAGAAGTTTACGGATTTTCCTAAAAAATCAAAAAAAAATCGTCAAAATCGGACAATTAGGAGCAAAGATATGGTCTCTAGTTTTTTTTAGATGTGCTATTGCAAAAGGTTTATCTTTTTTTTTGATTTCCGAAAGTGTTACTGAAGTAATGCTATTTTTTTAGCATATTGCTAATGATTAAAAAAAATTTTAGTCCAATAATTAGAATTACCTTTTATTTATTTTTATTTATAACTAGGAATTTAATGTTACTTTATATGTATGATTGTTTGGAAATAATATACCAAAGAGAAATAATTTGCAGTGGTTTTTTTTTCAAATTAATTATCGTTATATGTATATATATATATATATATATATATATATATATATATATATATATATATATATATATATATATAAATCTTTCGTGCTGAAGCCCCTCCTCCAAAATTAAATCTTGATTCGGTAATGTATATAATATTATTAGAGCATAAGTTCGTATGTAATAATTTTCAACTTTAATTCTATGTGTATTAAAGGTGATATTTTGTAGTCTGCAACTGATATAAGTAGTCTGCTACTATGGAAAATAGCAGATGAAAATAAAATATGAAATTATTCTAATAAAGCATAAAGAAATATTGAGTTTTTATGCACTCTAGTAAAACAATAAATAAATTTATACATAAGACCTTTTGAACCAACAGTATTGAAATTCATGTTCAGTATGCATTTTTTTTTATTTATTTATTTTTTTATTAAGCATAATCAAGTATGGAATATTCAAATACGACCCTCTGTTGTTGAATGTTGAAGGGTAACTGTAATCGGCTATTCCGATTCTGCTTCTCTCAGAGATTTTATTCTCATACGAAAAATTGTATACCTTGTAATATACAACGGAAATGGTGAGGAAGCTATACTGCCCTTCCTTGGCAGACGTTTTTTCATCATTCCCCAAAGCAGCCGATGTATTTGCTGGTATTCCTCTTTTGTTTAATTCTCTGATGTAAAAGCACTACTCTCGAAGATATGGACCACTCTCATTCTCTCTACACACTTCTGACAAATGGGCGGGATTTCTTTCGTAATTAAGTGAATGTGCGTAAGTCTGGTATGGCCTATTCTTAGTCGCGTAAGGACAACTTCCTCTCTGCGTTTACTGCGACGGGCATTTTAAACATCCATCTGCCGAATCCTTTTATTAACTGAATTATGTAGATATTGGCGAAGTCGTACCACAATCATACAATACACCAATAAAAAAAAATATTTTAATTCATTTTTCAACTTTAGGCCATGTTTTCCTACATTCTGAATTAGTTCATCCTCGATTATAAACCACTGTTTTAGGACTTTGAATAATAATTAATTGCAAACTTGACGTAATTAAATATGAAATAATATTTGCAGAGACTATACCCGACCCCTGATTGAGCATTTGAAAAGAAGACATCCTTACATAAACATTGCGAGGCTACCATCACTTCCTGATTCCAGTGACCGTTTGTACATGAGAACCAGCGTCGAAGGACTCGCGAATCCTGTAAGTGTACTGCCCATTTATTCATCTGATGTTTTTGATTAAGTAGAGTTGTCTATAAGAGCACTTGAAACATATAAATAAGAATTTACAAATGTCTGAAACATTTTGAGTTGTTTGAATCTGTAGAATATAATGTTTACTCTTGCTCAGAAAAAAAAAAAAAAAAATTGTACGAGATTTCCTAAGGCTCTATATTTGTCCAATCGGTAATTTTGTATATCTTAATGGTTGATTAGAGTTCATTGACGTTAAATTTAGGGTTAGCGGAAAATAAAGTAATAAGAATAATTAATATTAATACGCGATGGCGCACTTCTTCTCTCCTCAGATGTTTTATTGCTCCCCTCTTCTTAAAAACTGTGCAAGCGAAAATAGAATTAGAAAAACTGTAGATCATATACAATTACACTTCATGCAGTTTGTTTCGTGCTTCTTTGAACTTTATAAAAATTTATAACCTTATTGAAATGTATATTCTTCAAACATTCAATACCCCGTCAAAATGTACCGTCTCAAAATTATTGATGGGGCTATTTTCGCCATGAAACCCATCTTGGCTTCCTTTCTATAATGGACTCCTCCGGCTCATAAACTTGAATGGTTTTGATGTCGGTGGATTTTTTTTTTTTGTATGGAATAAGAAAAAAAAATCCATGTTATATTGTATCATGAATTAGAAAATACAAATGATGCTACCAGTTAAGTAGGTCGCCATTTAACAAAGAAATATTAAATAATGCCAATGATACCATTAATGAAAACCGCGTTATATTTACGTAATATTGTCGGAGTCCGCATCATATTAACCTCATGCCAGGTATTTATTTATTTGGCAGAAAATACATGCTTTTTTTTTTTTCCTTTTACAAAAATTTTCTTCTTCACAATTCCATTTACCTTAAAATGGTGCTACATTCGCCATAAAAGAACCAAAAAACTAAGACTAAACAATAAGCATAATAGCAAAACAAAATATAAAGATAAAGATAAATCCTGGGTTACAGTCCCCCATGTCTCACAAGCATTAAGAGTTTCTTTAAAAGCTATGCAGATATTAATACAATAACTTGCGTCATAAATATTTTTAATATATATACAGACCCAATGTATGCAAAAATCAATAAAAATAAAATTAACAATCAATTAGTTAAATTTACTTGATTAACAAAAACAATAAAAAATAAATAAATAAATGGACACGCATACATACACAAAGTCACACACACATGCCCACTCATACATACACTTATATGCATGCCTACTTACACCCGCATACACATCCACAATATTCATAAAATAATACATAGTTAATAGTATACACATATTTTTTTTAGGTAATATATCTTATTTAAGCACAAGTGGGATTCAATATTGAACGTTTTATATTAAATCGGATTAAAATCTAAATTATTATAACATAACAGTTTCTAAAAAAGAATCAGATTAGGGGTGATGAATATATGGTATCGCATCCAACTAAAAAATAACCCATACATTATTTCTTATCATTTTCAACGGGGTAACAATTTATGCCAACCATAATAATTCATTTTCATACATTTAACAAATACTTATCCCAACATTGATTAGTCACTCAGTCCAATCTAGCTATCCCTATAATGAGTAACGTATTGAAACAAATTGTCCCTACCGACGTAGCAATTTGAGGATAAAATGTTTTGCACAAAATGTGTCCGTAGTTGGATAGACACTTCCAAGTTTTTTGAATACCACAAAAATTGTGATAAATTCAAGGGGATACCACTGATCCACGTGAAAATTTTCAAGCAATTATAGGTCCCCTTACAAATGGCACGAAATATTACAAACTGGAACTTCGTTAGGAAATTACAACCAAAGATATTAAATGAAAACGTTCGAGAAATTTGTCTTTATTTCTACCATGTAGACATGAACTCTAAAAGTTATTGATATGGTTGAAAGAGCTGTAATTCAGCTTAATACTGTTGTTTTAACGTTGAATTTGGATAACATCGTGAGCAGTTATGTGTACTTTAGTTGAAGGCCAAAAAAAAACATCCTCCGAGAAAATCAAGAACTGAATTTTGTATTTTAAATGTAAATCAGTGATCCACTGACTGTGACCTCCCATTTCAAGTTATTAAAAGCAAAGGTCTTGTAACAGTTATCTTAAAATACCGTTGTAAGCATTATTCCAAATATACATTTCAATAACTTACTTATTTTCTTTATGATGTCCTAAAATAATTTAATATATTTTAATTTTATTTATATGCTTATAAAAATAATCTGCAAGTTTATAAATATTTTTTTAAGACTATCAGCTCCTATATAGCTATGGAAAAGGAACGATCTTGGCAAGTCCTTGAATCGAAAGAAAACGAACAACTGGCCTTTGATTCTACTCTCAAGAAGGAATATACTACCCCTATGCCTAGTAATGTATTCTATTCTAACCATTAGGTCAATTAAACTAGTGGCTAACATTCAACTATAAGAAAATAAATATTGTATGAACCACAAAAAACTTAGAGAATTATTAATATTTGTTATTAAAAAGACTTGATTACTAATAACTAGGAAAAAAAAATTAATAAATTGCCCAACCACAAAAATTCAGAAAATCAAGATTGAAGTTACAATTACTGAAACAAAAAGTCCTTAGAGCTTAGTCCTTAGATATGAAAAACAAAACAATTAATTAAACCATTATTTCTCAGGTATTGTGTTTAAAAATAATCTTATTTTGTTTTAGTCATTAGTGCAGCGGGTTTTTAACTTTTATTTGTTTCTACATTAAATTACATTTTTATTATTATTTAGTTAACTTTTGAAGAAAAAAAATTCGGTTTTTGATTGTCGAATCTTAATATCCATATGTCGATTTATTTTATAAATTTTACCGATATTTCGATATTTTTTTCAAAACATCCAAAACCTCTGCCTCGCACAGGCGGATCTACGGGGGGGGAGTTAGAGGGAAGGGACTTTCGGGTTGAAGTCTCTCTGCTCCCCCCCCCAAATGGTCAAATTTCGGTAAATGGTAAAATATGATCATGTGTTATAAAAAAAGAATTATTTTTCGTGTAATTACACTTAATAGGATTTCAAGAATAGAATATTACCGGCCTAAAAGTTTGAAACAATAAAAAAAATTGATAAAATATACTAAAAAGTAATGAAAACCTTAGGTGAATAAGCTATATACAATACAGATAAAACTATGTACATAGTATTTAAAACTATGAACAAATCACTTAAAACTACGAACGAATCACTTGAAATTATCAACAAAACTATATATAAGGGTTGAACAACATAAACATACACTTTGAGAAATGAAGAACGAAAAAGAGATAGAATAAGTTCATTTCATAAAAAAACTTTACTTGTGTATATTTATAAAAAAAAAAATTAATTATAATTGAATAAAATAAAAATAAAAAGTGTATGTATTGAAATTCCTACGTAGATAGTAGGAAATCTCTTACCAAGTATTATCATATGATTATATGATTGCTACACAATACATATATAGCATTAATAGTTAGCTATATGAAATGGTATCTGACTGTTTTTGGAACAGGAATTGGAATAGGAGGTTTTTGAATGTGTATAGGGAGGGGCCATGACGTATTTTGATCGGGAGGGAGTTCCAAAACCATCATCATGGGAGTTCCATGAAGCTATTCATAAGTCTTTTTAGTCTATCACGGAGTTCCACCGAGAGGCCATCGTACACCACACAACTGTAGTCAAAGTGGGAAAAGATGAGAGAGGAAAGTAGGAGTCTACGGGTATTTAGGGGTAGAAGATGGCGGAAGTGATGGAATAGTTTGAGGGTAGAAATTGTACGACGGGAGATATGAGAGATACGGTGATTCCAGGAAAGGGTTTGATCTATGAAAAAGCCTAAATGTTTAACAAAGGGGTAGAAGGTGATGGGGTGGTTGTTTAGATAGAGTGAGGGAAAGTTGGTATGGGATCTAAGAAGGGACTTGGAACCAATGAGAATGGCCTGAGTTTTGGCAGCATTTAGCCTTAATCCATTTAAGTTGGTGCAGGCACTAATTCGATCTAAATCTTATTGAATTTCGGCAAATACCACCAATAACTCAGCGGGAGAAAAGGATTAATAGATTTGAGAATCGTCGGCATAAAGGTGATGGGAACAATGGATGATTGAATCATTTAGGTCATTAATATAAGAGCTGAAAAGAAGAGGAGACATGCTAGAACCCTGTGCAACTCCAGAAGATAAAGGAGGGTAGGCAGATAGTGGTTGAGTGGGTATGGAAACTGCTTGAGTTCGTCGTGAGAGGAAAGACTGGAACCAAGAGATGGAACTATTGGAGAAGGATAATGATTTTAGTTTGTTGAAAAGGATGGAATGGATAATGGAATCGAAGGCTTTGGAGAAATCAAGAAGTATAAGTATAGTTAGTTTTTTGTCATCTATTGCAGTCTGAATATCACTGGTAATTTTAATCAGAGCAGATTGTGTAGAGTAGCCAGGACGGAAGCCAGATTGGAGAGGATCGAATTGGTTGGATTGTTCAAGGAAGTTGGAAACTTGGGATTGCACTAACCTTTCAAGGGGTTTTGAAAGATTGGAAAGAATTTATATTGGGCGGAAATCTTCAGGAGAGGATGGATTAGGCTTTTCGTTTAAAGGAAGGACAATGGCTTTTTTCCAAGAGGTCGGGAATATTGAATTCAGCAGAGAGAAATTGTAGATGAAAAGGAGAGCTGGGAGGATTTCAGGGCGACATATTTTTATTAGTTTGATAGGAATGCCATCTGGGCCTACGGAATTGGAACGGGATTTCATTATAACGGTAATAAGGTGTGTGGAAGAAATGGCGGAAAAATAAAAACTATTGTTGTTAAAAGATGCCTCTGGAGAAAAGCCGGAAGGGGAGGGTAAAGAAGAGGTGGAAACCGGATATAAAGTGGGAGTTTAGGTCATCAGGTGATATTGGGAAAACTGAGGAAGGGGATCTAGAGGGTTCACAGAGGGAAAGCTTACGAAGCAGAAGCCATTTTGATTTGATATCAGGAGCTGAGGAAGGGTCTTCATGAAAGTATTTTGCTTTCGCTTGTCTGTGTCGTGTTACGAAGCACTCTGAATGTTTGATAATCATCTGCAAGCCTAGTCCGTCTAAAGCATCTGCGGGCAGCGTCACGTCTCTTCTGCTATATATACATAAAAAAAAAAGCTTTTGCATTGAATCCTCTCCCAAAATTAAATCCTGGATCCGTTAGTGTTGCCTTTTACAACTAATAAATATTAAGTATTATTGAACATTGAGAATTCTCATGTGATTATTATAAAATGCATACCTTACCTGAAGGAAAAGTACAGGGGTGAATTCGGTAAGATAGAATACTTAGTTAAAGGACTATGGTTCGGAAGCTTGGGAAGCATCCCTCTAAATACGAGCAATTTCTTGCAGAAATTACATCGAAGCAGAGGCTTGGAGTTGGAAGGCAGCAGATGCAGACTATGACGGAAACAATTATTTTATACTCGTTAGAAATCCTCCATCACCACATATATTGATCTAGGCTTTCACTTATTTGATTCTATAAACCGTTCTTGGCATTTTCGATAAGTATTCCAATGGTCCGACCTGATTCTCTCTTATATTTTTATACAGTATTGTCTTTTGATTGATGAGCATGCTGTGTTATTTAGTAGCTCAACAAAATTGATCAGTCGTATTAGTGAATACCGTCTATATGTAGTGCAAGCTAAAGAATTATATAATTATAGAAATCATAGGTCATATACAATTACACTTTTCAATTCAAAATTTTCATTTCAAAAATTCATGACCTCCTCGAAATAAGCTCTACTCAAAAATTCAAAACCCCGTAATAATATGCCTTCCTCAAAAATTTTGATAGCTCAACTTGCGCCAATAAACCTCTTTCTTGGCACCCCTGATAATGAATAATAATAAAATTCATAAAAAAAGTTAATGAAATCGATAACATTCTAAATCAGGGTGTGTTCAATTTTTTATTAATGTATACTATATATATATATACTATATCGATGAACAGAAGTATGTAGCCAGTGATTGATAGGATCGGCACCAAACATTTTCTTATGACATATCTGTTTTGATTCTTAAGAATATATGTTTCTCTTCTAACCTATATCAGTCAAACGATAATTGCTGTAATAAAATGAAACATAATTTTAATTAATCATTCATGATTTAAAACTATTTATTTTTTAAGGCAAACCATGGATATTGGGTAGTGGCCGACTTCTGTGTACCAGGTGTGGCTGTCAAACGGATCCAATGCTAGAGAAAAAAGATTCAACTTACAATTCTTTTGGAAGGACGTGTTTTTTGTTATGGTAAAGGAGTTTGAATTTTTTATAATTAAAACTGTTTAATTTTTAAAACGAATAACCTATCGTAATTTCTTATTCATATAGGTGCTGGCCTTTTTCGTTTATGACGTATAACTTTTGCGCAGAGAAGACCGTAAAGCTGTTCTGTAAGAAATGCTCATCCTATTTGGCTACTTATGACCTAAAAGAGAAAAGATTGGTGCATCGGCGACCTTTTAACCATTCCCGGCAAGCCTCGTCTGTCGTCGCTAAGCTGTCAACATCTGCCCCCAGCATCAGCATCCACTCTAACAGTTGGGAAAAAGTGAAAAATGGCCAACTACCCCTCAGCCATTCTTCCATCAAGTAGTGATTATTATTGCGAAATAAAAAAAGCACTTTATAAACTAATGTTTATTTGTCAATATCTTTATTTGGTAGATGGAATGAGTGGGTTGTTTCATTCCCAAAATTTGTTCCATTTGTTTCCATACCCAAATTCCAGAGCTCATTCTTAACCAGTCTTAACCACACACACGTACAGTCTTAAACACAAAAACATCCTAATTATTTTGTCTTAGAATTTCTCATTCAGATATACACGGTTATCAAGCATCAAATATGGCTGAAAACGTTCTGGTTTGTAAACGAAAACCAAAGAGAAATGTGAATTATCTACATTTATACCATGCGAACATTGGTAGATTTATAGGAACGCCACAAGGGCTGCCCACCCACTAAAGAAAAAGAATATTTTATTTTTTGTTACCATTGTAATACATCCTCCAAATGTTTATCCTTTAGTGACTTCATATAGGATTATATATTATGATTTTATATTTTGAAATTCATTTTTACTAAATTGAAACACGAACAGTTTATTTTATTTTTATTTTATTTTATTTTATTTTTCCACCCTCCCATGCCACCAGGGCAATATGGGTGTATGCAGTAGTGTGATGTTTTGCATTAATACATAATAACACACTACTGTCATAATATCGGTTTACATAATTCAAAGCTGTGCACACAGCTAGCTCTTCCACTTTTCCTCCTTCTACACCAAATTAGGCCTGGCTTCCCGAATCCGGAGGTCTTCCTGGGACTGGTCCTCTTCTCCTTCTGCGGGCACCTATGGTGAAGTGAGCTGGACCCACCGCCGTCTTCCAGCCATTTATGAACTCTTGGAACCGCGGGAAGTTTTCCTCACTCACCAGCTGAGGAAACTCCTCCTCAGTGAGGACATAAATTCTCATTAACCTGGCGCTTAATCCGTCGAAAACAGTGCAGGCCGTGACCACTTGCTCAACAGTCTCCGGAACATCGCAAGCAGGGCAGTGGGGATCTATATCCTGTCCGAGGCCATGAAGTTTAGCTCTGAAACCACCATGCCCCGTGAGAAATTGTGAAACCCAATAGTCCGGGAGTATCCAGTTCGCTTGTAGCCGAGATTCAACGGTGGGGAAGTATTTTCTTAAGGTACTGCCTTTCGGAGTCGTCACGCACCGTCTGCTCCAATCTTCAATTGTTTCCTCCCGGATATTCGTTTTCCATTTATTTGGGTTTTCAATAATTCTCATCCGTTGGTTGTCCGATAGACCTGTTGAGCCCTACCTCTTGTAATCGTACTTGGTCACTTCTTCTCGCAGGAGGAGATCGAGAGGCACCACCCCCGCTAAGACCTGCACTGCTTCATGCGAAGGTGACCTATATGCTCTGGTGACCCGAAGCAAAGCAGTCTTCTGAGTCTTAAACACGAACAGTTTAAGAATATTGCTTGATTCCGAATAACTTTTTCAATCGTCTTCAGTAGTTTTTCTAAAATAAATAAATCCGCTACCGGAAATCCCCCATTTTGGATTAATTAAGCCACTGGGCGCAATTAGGGTTGATGTTCAGTTTTGCTTAGTTTGTGCATCAATCGAAACCAAGGTTATATTTCTCACAGCTATAATGTCATAAACATTTTTAGACTTAAATATTTCTTGCATTATCATTCTTATTAAAACAGTCAAACCATTCCTTCATTCTTTCTTTAATGGCGCGACAGACGCATAAAGCGGTCTTTGGCCTGCTTTATCATTTTTCTCCAGAGAACCCTATCTGCAGCATGCGCTATGGTCAGCCTTGCTTGTCTCATACTATTCTTTCAGGACCGTGAACACTATTCTTTCAGTGTGATCTGCGTCTTCCCTGGTCTCATCTCACCTGGCGTGTTCCTTTACACTTTTAGAGGGCGCCAGCAGTCTTCCATCCAGAGGATGTGGCCAATTCAATTTAGTCGCAGCAACCTGAATTTGAGATGCTCAATTCTTGATATTCGCCATACTCATAACTCCGCTATTCGGCTGAGACGCCACGTTTCATTTACTTTTACAGGTCCCAGAATGAGTCTCAGGATCTTTATCTTGAAACTATCAACTCTTTGTGCATGCCTAAGTTGATATTGGCCTTATATGACATTTGTACAGTTTTATTGTAGTAGCGCGACTTAGAAGTCTGCTCCTCATAATTTTGGATAGAAAAACATATGCTCCGTCGGTTGCTGCTCATCTATATCCTATTTCAACTTCCTCTTTCATCTTCTCTGTTATTGTAGATCCCACATATTGGAAGCATTGAATAACCTCAAAGTATATTCCCCCATTCCAAGTTGTTGTTGTGCGGCCTCATCATGTTTCCTTGCGCACATCATTTTTGTTTTATTTTTATTATTAGTTTTATTACCTTTAGTCCCATATTTTTCTCTTCCTGTTCAATCTTGCATAAGGCTGCCTCTACATTAGGTTGTGATTTCTCGACAATTGCGGTGCCATTACCATACGCTAGTATTTCTACCATTCTGGTAAATATTGTGCTGTCATCGCTCTGTCCTATCCTACTAACAATTCTGTCCAGTACTAGATTAAATGGAAGAAATTGAATAGCAAAACAAATTATGTTATCAAAATCTTATGAAATTATAATATGAATGATATAGAAAACATAAATGTTGACCGCTGTATATTTTAGAGGAAGAAGATGGTCCGGGATGGCAGTCATAAAGAGACTAAAATAGTGGAAAAAATATTTTATTTCGAGCCAACGTTCGACTCGACATTGCAGGTCTTCTTCAGATGGGTGCATGCAGCAGGCAGTTTCAGTTGAAAACTGAGGACAAAAAAATTAAAGTAAAACGTCATAATAATTTTAGTTTTTGTTTTGTTTTGATAACACCAAAATGTCGCAGTTAGAGTAGGTAGTATACGCTGACACTAGGCAGCCATATTTGTTGGGCTCTGACTAATTGTACAAGTTGAGATTCAATAATCGGTATAAACTGTACTGTCAATAATAAGAGGTATTAACTGTATCAATTTCACAATTTTTCACTCAGTCCCTTTTGTAATATATAACATCAAAAATCGCCGAAAACGAATTTTTTTTTTTTTTTTTGAAAATTCATAATTAACAAATGACAAGGTTTTCAATATTGAACTTTCACCAGCAAAAAGTTCAGTGTTAGGACTACATATGAAGAAAAAACTAGAGTTGAGGCTCTTTTCTTTATTACACTTTTGCAGCCTTAAAAGTCACTTTTTTTGTCTATTTTCAAGATTTTTTAAAACAAATTTCCATATTTTTAAGTGATGTATTGATCAACAGAAATGTAGAAAAAAATACTCTAAATTATTTCAGTTTTTATTTTGGCTTGATGTCTACAAAATAACCAGATTTACAGGAATTTTCCAAAACATATTTTCAGTAGAAAAGTAAATTAAAAATAGCCGCCGAGAAAAAACTGTGAGCCTCAATTTTTTTTTTAACTACGGTTTTCAACTCTCAAATAAATATGGAATAACTGGTAATAAAATTATAAAAATCATAAATGTCGAGCAACATGGTCTGGGTGATTTCAAATATATTGATCCAATATGAATGATTTGCATTAAGTAGTGTTTTGTTAATTTTTTTTTTTTTATCAATCTATTAAGGATAAGTATAGGTGCAACTAGTAGCAGACAAATGTCGAGGAAAAATATTTCGAACGGGAGTATAGGCAACTAATCAAACTCAAGAAATTACCTTCATTGATATCAATGAATAATTAATTAACATCAAGTTAATTTTGGGTATTCGCGAAGGAAATTGAAGCTCTTTTGAGGTAAACTATTTATGCAACAATTATGTGGAGGGAAACCTTTAATTTAGTTAAATATTAAGTATTCTTGAAGGGGTTTGTATCATGAAGCTCTCCTAAAAGGTTAGCTCATACCTCGAAGTAATCTATGAATGATAGTAATAAAATTATATATTCATATGTTTCTCTGTGTTTATATACACATATAGATATATGGACAGGTAGATAGATAAATTTTTAATGATGAATTAAATTACTGACACTTTTGTTCAAAATGTAAAATGCAATTTTTGTTTAAAAGCTACTATTGTACATATGAAATATTAAGGTGCGTTTAGACATTTCACAAACTGTAGAGCAAATAACTATATAAATGGTTATTTTACTATGCTAGATTTTATTTTATTTTATTTTTTTTTTTTTTTAATATTTTCCATCTACTGTCGGTATCTAGAAAAATAAAATAAATAGTTTGGTTTAACAATAGCATCGCTGTTAGTTTAGTTAGATAATTTTGTTTCCCATAAGTAGTTTATTGAATATGTGATCGTACCTTAACATACACAATGGCATGCTGCACAGGGCTGCAGTACTATAAACTTTTAGACAATTATAATCTGGAACGGAATGACTATTTGCATATTTAAATATCAATATATTATATTTTAATACATAATATATATACCAAACTGAGATCACAAAATTGATATTGATAAATACGCAACTGCTGTTATGGATCATGGTATAGAAAGGCAATAATGATCTATTGGAACTAGCAAAATTCATCCTGTCTACTCATAATACTATAAATATTTCCATTGACTATCGAAATCACAATACCAACAAGATTTTGTAAAATTGGTATTATGGTATTGGTATTGGTATTGATATTAACTATGTAAAAAAAAAAAATAATCATAGTCACTTTATGTTCAACGTTCGCGTGGTAAATTCTCTATTACCTGCTATATGGCAAGTTGAGACAAGATCTGAAACTGTTTCTAGAAGTTTAAACCTTTGTTAAAACCACGTCACGCCTACTTTTCCAGACCTTTGCAAAATGAAATATATTTTTTTACAATTGTTTGAAGCAGAATAAAATTATATACATTTTTTAAAACCGGCATGACAGATGTCATAACATTCATTGATTCAAAACGGTTAATTCTGTTCAGATTTAGGCAAAAATGTAGTCCAACTAGCTCTTAAGAAATAAAATGTGCGATTTTTCTTCCTTCATTATTATTATTATTATTATCAAAATTAAACGACAAAAATTTCTAAACATGACGGAGAAATTACATTAGTTTGTCGCTGCAATGAGACTTTTAGACATGAACTTTTGTTTTTGCTACCGAAGTCCAACAAGAATTGGCGTTTGCCCCACTATGCCCTGGATCCCGATGTAAATTGAGCTTGAGCTTTATCATAGGCTAAAATATCAATCATAATATATTCATACATATGTTTCCTTACGTCATTGATATACAAGTCACTTATTTTTTTTTTTTAGTTAGGTTATTATATTCATTTTAATGATGAATCATTAATTGATCGAACCGCAAACTCATCGTGAATCAATGATGAATGATTTAAATCAAGAAGGATGCGAAAATGACACTGAAAATTCATCTATTATTGACGAATTTAGGAGAAACAGATGCAGATTACATGAATACTCTGATGCAACCGGAGTGTACATCGACCTTCTTCGAAGATCTGGTCAAACAGTAAGAACAGCAGAAGGAGCTGTAGTCAATGAACCTGGACAGAATTTGTTAGCTGATACTAGTTCTGCAAACACTAACAGGTTGAATAACATCGGAATTTAATCTACAAAGTAGTAAATGAGTATATAAATATTATCTCTTCTGTTCATTTTTCCTACCTTTGGTGTCTTGAAGTTTTTTTATTTGTTACAATAAATTAGGCCATTTTTCACCAACCTTTTATTATTACGCATCAATTTAAAGTTTCGACCATACTAAAGGTCATTTTCAAAACTTGATGAGCCCTCCTAATATGTTCATCCTTAATGTTCTAATTAATATGTTCAGTGAACATTAACTTGTCAATTTTTATAGGTGCTTCGCCTAAGTCATTTCTGGACCAGAAATGACTTCAGTCCCTCCAAAAATGACGTAGGCGAAGCACCTATAAAAATTGACAAGTAATGTTCACTGAACTTATTAATTAGAACATTAAGGATGAACATATTAGGAGGACTCATCAAGTTTTGAAAATGACCCTTAGTATGGTCGAAACGTTAAATTGATGCGTAATAATAAAAGGTTGGTGAAAAATGGCCTAATTTATTGTAACAAATAAAAAAAATAAATATTATCGTTAAAAGTTTGTTAGCATACTATATACTTTCTCAAAAAATCGTCTGAACCAAATCATTACTAACAATGACAGTTAATTTCATCAATAGTCGTTTTACTTTTTAGACTGTTTTAGACCATGTAAATCATTTGTTTTTCTTATCCACCAATATGTTGTAACAATTTATATTTGATCCGCTTAATACCATGCAAGAGTAAATCAAGACAACTGTGGAGAGAGAGGGCACTCAATGGTATGAATTTCGGGACCCGAATTCCTCAGTACAAAGATAGACGCAATAAATTTATATTCCTAATTCACTAAGATTATTTTATGTCTATTTTTGCTTCCTCGCTGCCGAAGGTAGGGAAGCATTATATTTGTGCGAGGGGTTAAAAATAATGTTGTGCTCAGATTCGAAAATTTCCACTTTTCACGTTTTACGTTTCAAACATCAAGGATCAAATTTGGTTCATTGTCTGTCTGTAGTCAAATCGACGTAACGGACATATCACCTACTATCCTTTATCCGATTTTCATGAAATTTTCAGGAATTGTGCGGGTTGGTGTCTAGATGGTCCCATATCAATTTTATTAAATTCTAACCATCACTTTCGAATAGGCGCAAACGCATTTTTGTAGATATGCCAATATTTCAGAAACGACTCGCTCGAATTGGCTCAAAGTTGAACAAAAGGAAGGTATTTGTGAAAAAAATATGTTGGGCCAATTTTATTGAATTATGTTCATTGCTTTCTGTTATATATGCGCAAAAGTGTTTTCCTTGATACGTCTATATCTCTAAAACCGCTAGTTCGATTTGGCTCAAATTTGGAGGGAATTTAAGGATTGGTAAACGTAAAATGAAATAGGCATCAAATTATATCTAATACTAAAAAAAAAAAACTTCCGCTTTCAGATCAGAAAATGTGTTATTTGATATGCCTATAGTTTGAAAACGGCACATTCGATTTGACCCAAACTTGGAGAAAATTTGGAGAACAGTATCGAAATTACTTAGTATCAATTTCATTTCATAATTAACATTAATATAAATAATTGTTAAAAATATAATGGCTGTGAAATGTGGAAGGTACTGATTATATGGAGTGGGAGTTAGGTTATTACAATATTGTTATGGGGTTATTAAATGTTAAAATCTTATTTATGATTGTATTTATTTCCATTGAAGTTCAACCAGCTCATCTTGGTCTCGATTTTCTCCTTTAATATCAAAATTGTGTCAAATTCATTCATACTTTTATATTCCAGCTTAATTAGTTTTGTTCTGAATGAAGAAAAGTATTGGTCTCGTTAACTCCGAACAAACAAAAGGTTGAATTTTTCTTATGGATTTTTTTTCATACATTTTTTTTTTTCATACAGTGAAAACTATTAAGTATATATCACTACTATTAGTACAAAGGTGGTATGTAAAAGTTTTCAATTTTCATTCGATTTTTGACATTATGTAGTCTGCAATTAATATAAACAGTCTACTACTATGAAAAATAGCAGAGGGCAATAAAATATATAATTACACAAATGGCGGTATCTGTTCCCATGGGTACAGACTTTCCATTTTTATTGGGGGTCCTATGGATAAAAAAAAACACGAAGATAGTTAATATTATGTGTAAAAGTTATGTAAAATGATAGAAATAGCAATTGAAAAATAAAATTATTCTGGGATGAAGTCCCTCAATACTAACAAAATGTTACAGAAAACAGGAATAACTTCTGGTCAGAAGAACAGTTACATTAAAAATATAAAAAACCTTATGTAAACTAACAAAGTATACCAAACCAAATGAAACTATATGCAAAAGTATAACCTAGTTCATGAGAAAAAAAATATATAAAACATTGATTTTTTAAATAAGGCAATAAACTTAACACGTTGTTTACCATTTTCTGACTGTTTTGTAAAGGAGAAATAGAATAGGAGGGTTTTAAAAGTGGATAACGAGGGAGCATGCTGTTTTTTTAAAGGAGGGAATTCCAGAAAATAGCAGAGCGGGTATATCTCTATTTATATATTTTTTTTTTCTTCCCTACCTCGCCTTTTAGGCTATAAGGAGGTTTCCCAGACCTGGGAGTGAGGGCGGGGAATTTAAAATCCCCTCTGGTACAAGTACTTTTTTAATATCTCATAACTTTCTTTTCTGGTTGCGGGGCAACTCGCGATGCTGTGCACATGCGTTAGCTTATTCGGCCACCCAGCCCCTTAAATTCAACATAATTATTGTGAAACGAACAGTACAATACTGAATATTTCTAAATAAATTTAAATGTGTTTAAAACGGTTCCTATTCATAAAGGAGTCCATATCTTGCAGAAGGTCGGATAATTCATAATTTGTTTTTTTATATTACCAGAAAACATCAAACTAATTATAATTTTTTTTCTATTAAGTTCCATTTTATTTTTTATTTCCATTATGTTTAATTTTTTAAAATGGTTATTTTTTAATGTGTTGTTTGAAAATGCAATCTTTTTATTTATTTGTGATATCTACAACTGTATTAATAAAAAATACGTTCAGTAAATGTGATAACAGAAAATGAAAACACTTGTTGAGAAACTATTGGCTGGTAGCACTCTATGAAATGTTAATAACTCTGATAACAAACCTTATATAAATTACATTAATTATTTTAATGCTAATATTTATTTTGTATAATTTTATATTCCAGCATATACATGTTTGAGTGAATATGTGTCAGCTCTAAATTGATAGACCATCTCTATCAAGAATTAAAATTTCTTTAATGATTTTTTTAGGCATAGCTCATGGATTTCCTCAAGTACACATAGAGACAAATTTCTCCAAGCCATGATAGCCAAGTCATTCATTAATAGAACCTATAATTTTTTCCTTTTTGAATTGACCCACCTTTTCTTGGAAATTACATTATACAGAGTGTTTCAGGGTTAAGTGGCCAAACTGAAAAAATGATCTGAGGATCTCAAAACATCAACAATCAACAATGTCTGCAAACACTTTGTCTAGGAGATATTCATATCTAATGATTTTCATTGTTATGAATTATTTACGTTATATTGAGTAAAGAAAACTTACTTATTTATTCCAACTACTTTATTAATTAAACATAAACATAAAATTCATATGAAATGTTTCTCAAAGTGATTTCCTTGAGCATTAAAACAGACTTAGCACCTTTCTTCAACAGCAGCAGTGGCAGAAGGCACTGGATATGTGTTATTGTTTCTCAAGAATCAATAATCCTTCTTCGTAAGAAATTAAGGTCATTGACTGGAACTAATTAATAACGTAGTTAGAATAAATAAATAGATTTCATTTATTTCATATAATGTAAATAATTCATAACAACGAACATCTTTAGGTGTGAATATCTCCTAAACAAAGCGTTAGAGAACATACCTTCAGAGGAAATTTTTTTCTTGGTTTGAGGTCCTTAGTTCATTTTTGCAGTTTGGCCACTTAACCCTGAACCACCCTGTATATTGCCCCTTAATTGATAGCAATCTCAAGAGGTACGACAACTGCACTAATAGGCAACTATGAGAGGCTATTCATACTAAATGCATATTAATGAAAATTATACTTTTTTTAATTTTGGCCACAAGTATGTTCCTATAAAGAAATCTCTTACTTTTTTAGATAACTCTTCAGCACTATAATTACAAAAAGTAGTTTGCCTCCAGAGTCTAAATAGCCATCCATCAACACATTCTTAATACTATTATTGTAGTAATACCAACACAACATAAGAGGAAGTAATGAACACTTCATGCCCTCTGATTTAGGTGCTAGGTATTGAGAATCACTATCACCAAAAACTGCCATAGCCAAATCTCACAGCAGACTTCCATTGTAAGTGTTTACCTGTATATTTCAAAGTTTGACATAAATGGGAGTTAACCCATCTTCATAGTTAATACCCCAAGCCATCATTCTATCTGCGATTGATCCTACTATCATCTTAATTGTAATTGTTCTCCGCAATTACACTGTGTCAATTTTAATGAGTTTTGAATCCTTGTCACCAATTTCAGAATATTTGCAACTGCATATCATTTATTTATAGCTTTTAACTGTCAGACAATAATAACCTGCAATTAAAAAATAATTTATTTAACATACTACATGGCAAATAAACGGATAAACACTACAAAAATAAGCACCGAAAAAATGTTTCTAAAAAGTAGTGGAATACCAGAGGTCAAAATAGAGTATAAATTACAATAGCATTTTGATCAAATTTCAATCTGTTCACATATATTTCATTTGGAAAGTTGGACGGGCTCTAAAATAAAATTTAGTTCTATTATAATTATTTCTAACAGCCAATTCTAAATATTCTAAAAACCCTGTAGTTTTCAGAGCATCAATTTCACAATTGATTAGAAATCAGGAAGCCAATGAAAACAATGAATCAAGACTAATACCTGAAATTGAAACTGATCATGGGGAAAATTCATTGATACTAGAGCCATTTACTGTGGTAAGTTCTGTTTTTATTTCCTCTAGATTGGTGATTGAATACTTCATGTTTGTTGATATGATGTTTAGACTAATAAATAATAACATTTGATAATAGTGTTAAAACAACAAATTGAATATAACACAATTCTTTTCCTATTTTTCACTTTTCCAATTTTCTATAATTATATTTAATGTCTGGGGTGAATACTAAACCAGGAAACTATAATTAAACATCTTCCAAAAAAATCCAATTTTTTATCATGTTAATGTTAATTTTTTATCAAGATTTTGGGAGAAAATGTCAGTTACTGTCATTACACAACTATTTCTAAATTTTATATAATTAACACACTTTACATCCTGATATACTAAAAAAAATATAAATGTGAACTTGACTAGTTAATAGTGATGCAAAATGAGAATTTTAGTACTAAAAATAAATTTAACTATTTTGGGAATTTTCAAATGGCACCTGCGGATGTCCTATATGTGTTACTATATCCTGTATGTGTTAGTTATTGTATCAGTAGCATAAATAACCTCAATGCAATCTATGTGAAACAGTAGGACACAGTACCTGTGGGGTGCAGTACTTAAATAATTGGAAAAAATTTAACCAAATAAAAATGTAAATAATTGTGTGTAATTATGTTCTGTTAATTATATTTAGGTAGAGAATTTATTAAGCCAGTTATATTTATAATTTTTATAACATTCTTTTTAAATGTTAAACATTATGTTTAGTAAACTGTACAATGTATAACAATGTGCTAATGATGTTTGAGTTTAGTGCTCCATTTCATTATCAACGACATTTAAGAATGTTATATACAGCCCAAGCAGCAGCACAGGCTCTAAAATCATAAATAAAAATGGAAATTTTGCTCCTAAAAGCAGATACATTTTTTTTTTTTTTTTTTTTAATGAAGTTTATTAATCCATCAGGTTTGTTTCCATTGTTAGTGCCTCATACGGAGAATGTATGATATTGTTTGCTCTTCTTATTAACTCTTTAATGTTTAGTGGCCTAATCTGTAGGCCACCCTAAAAACTCCGTTTTTTTTAGTTACCTTGCTGCTCCCTTCTTTAAAATCGATTTTATCAGATAGCCTACTACTATTCATGTGTCGACTAGGGTTTTGAGTGAACATACGGCACTGCTTAGGGTTGCCTGCTACGAAGGTCACTAAATGTTACAAGCAAAATTTGTACTAAAGGCCCAGAGCATTAAAGATATATCAATAACATATAGATTATGATCCAGCCATTCCATTCAAGTGTAGTTCTTAGTATTTTAAGTACTGATTTTGGTAAACATCACACTAACTATGGATCACTGGTAAAAAAAAAAAAAAAGGTTAAATAAACGTGATTAAATTTCAGATATCAGTAGATGATGTTAACAGTACACACAACCAGCCTTGTGTGGTTCAGAATGGTCCACCACCTTCCTATACATCTTTGCCACCACCCATTCCAGCTATTGGGCTGCCACCAATTATTCATCCACTCCCTCCTCCAACCTATGAACAAACATTTGGTTTACGATATCTAGACAGGGATCAGCCTGTTCTAGTTTTTAATACAGAGAGTAAGTTTTTTTTCTTAATTGTTTAAATTCATTAGAAAATATAATTTAATTTTTTTATGATAAAAAAAAATTTCTAATCTTAGTATGAAGTTATAAAATGTCTTTATTGTAATATGTTTTCATAGAATAGTTCTTTTAAAGCTATTGTAATCTAATAATTTTTTCAATGATATTGGAACTTAAATTAACATAAACAGTAAAATTACTCCTTGAAATTATAGGATTTGTTATAAAAGTTAAATACTTTAACGAAATAGAAGTTAAGAAAAGTATGTACTAAATTTATTTCTTGTATTTATTTAAAATTTATGATGCAGACAATGTGGTCATCAGAAGGTACTCCTAATTGACAAAAGCATGGCCACATCACTAAAAAAAACAGTGATTGATTTAATATTATATTAATTAACATATTAATATTTATAATCTGTAAAACTGTAAACATATAAGGAAAGGAACAAGACATTAGAAATAACTGACACGGCAATAGTAGTTTGTACGTAGATTTATATAATTGTCAAATATAAAATAAAATACTTTATATATCTAAAGTATTTATTTAAACTTTTCTTTATTTATCCTCATGCAGGCCACATTCCTTTCAACTTTTTTTCCGTATTTTCCCTTTCAACTTTTTAAAATATATCAACTTGCAATTCATTTAAGTATTCATTTTATTCAGTTAATATTTGGCCACGTCATAATATTTAAAAATAGCCAAGAATGGGTTAATTCCAAGCATTAATATTAAACATATACTAATATTCGTTTAAACAGTTACGTAGTTGTATTAATTATATAAATTATTGAACTATGTATTGACCATATTAAGTATCTAACAACACATTGCACACTGATCTACAGATAACAGATATATGGGACCTGATCTGCTGATCATATTACACAGCAGATCATAACTCTTTCAACAATATCAACTTGGAAATATTTGTTACTTAGTCTTAAGCACATTATAGATATTAATACATTTCTAATTTCAGATATGTGGGGTTACAGACCACAATTAGCTTACTGTATGTCATGTAATGCAATGGTACTTACGAATGTTAATACACAGTATTGCCAAGCAACTCATCTTGTTGCTATTTTATCTTTTGTTCTCTGGTAGGTTATTGTGTTTTTCTTACTATTTTTCATCATTTTACACCTAATTAAACAATCCTTTTACTTCAATTTATTTTAGAAAATCATTTTAGCTGCTGGCCTTGTTGTGTTCTTCCATACTTCATACCTGCTCTAAAAGAAGCTCGCCATCATTGTCCAGCCTGTAATAGTCATCTTGGTACATACCATCCTTTCACAAGGACTGAATAAGCTATATTATTTATAAAAAAAACAGGTATCATTTTAAAGATACCAGACGATCATTAAAAACATCCTTGAAATAAATCTTTAATAACTGTATAAGTGTATTTTATTTTTGTTAACATACATTATAGTAACTCCATTTTTCTTTTCATTATCAACTGCACAGAAGTCCATTTCTGAAAAATGTATATTTCTTAAATAGGTATTTCCTAATAATTGAATTTACACTGCACAGCAAAAATACCAAAAAGGCAGACCCATGTATTATTAATTTATTCTGTCAATAGCAATTTTTTTTTCTAGAGTGTTTGTATTTCTTTTTTCTTTTTTAAAGATTTAGAATTTGTGGTTATTAAAAAAAGTATATTCAAGACCTGTATTCAATTATTTAATTTAAAAGCAATGTCATAATCCTGATGATGCCTGAATGTGCGAAGCATTATCTGGTAAGTTATATATTTACATATTTTTTTCTTAGTCTTGTTATGCTTCCTTGAAAGTTTGTTTAACACTTCATGCAATTTAAAAGCAAATAAATCATCTTCTATTTTACATATTTTTATGTATTTGGAGCATATTCACATATTATCATCTATATTTATACAACAAAGGAAATTCACATTTAAAAGTAAATAAGCAGAATATATTTTTACATATAAATAAGAAATTCAGTGAATTATGGGGTTGAAAAGCGCCCTAATTGCATGAGCTTGAAATTTTATCTAATTAGAATTATCTTAAAGGTCTTTCCCCTATCAATTTAATTTTCACCATTCAGAATTTATCAGACTGGATGTCAAGAGGTATCCTAGCTAACTTATTTTGTTTAATCTGTAAAATGCCCAAGTCAAATGAATCTGTAAAGTCTTAGCGTCAAAATACATTCATAAATTTCTCATGTAAAGAAATAAATGTAAAGTAAAAAACCACAATATTTAAGAAAATAAAAACAATTTTGAAATCAATAAATATAGTGCAATTTTTGTAATTAATATAACTAGAAATTTTGTTTCAACTATTGATAATGTTGAGAAACATTGTCTAATTACTGACGTTGAGATTTTGTTTTATTTTTCTACCCCACAAAAAAAAAAATGCATTAATGTCCCTTTATTCATAGTTATTAATTATTGTTTCTACATTCAAATTGAGTAATAAGAACATAAATACATATGTTAAATTATTAAACAATTTTTAATGTTAATTTATATAAAAGTTTTGCAATTTTTTTTCTTAAATATTTTTCTTTTGTATTCATTTCAATTCTGTCATTTGCATCAAGTTTTAGGATATCTTAAAACGCACAGTTCTTACATACTTTTCATATTTCTTTTTACAAATTTCTGTTATATATTACATATTTAATGTCATATTCATCTTTTTTTTTTTAATCCTAGTTACTTTTAGAATTTTTTAAAATCTGGATTCCAGCTATTAATTATAATCTATGAGATTGCTTTTATTTTTTTAATCTCTAAAAATATTCTAAACCTAGGAATTTTACTTAAAGTAAACTGATTACTCAAATATTGCAATATGAATCTACAGTCATTGTTTTATATTAGCGAAACCACATCAATTTTCAAATGTTCAACTATCATTATTATTTTACTTCTCTTATGTAACCAAATCAGGAAGTAAAGACATAAAAATAAAGGTCACCTGATATGAGGTCATATAAATAGAAATAGGCCTTTTCAGAATCCATAGAGTGCATGTTTTTTTTAATAAGTTCAGCGATTTGATCTATCTGACCACAATTACTCTATTTTATACCTAAAACTGCCTGCATAATAATTTATAATAATAACTTTCATCTATTGAAAGAATTTTTAAAATTAAAAGGCACATTTAAGAATTATATCTGTCAAATAACAAAGGTTAAAAAAAAAAAAATTCATAATTTATTATTTTAATATTTACCAAAGGCAAATATTAATTATATTGTAATAATACACAAATTACACAGCTTAATGAAAGACTTGTGCTTTTCTAAATGCTTATATAAACTTCTTTGGGTATACAATGATGACATTTTATGAATAGTAATATTATATACGTAAAAATTTTGATTATAGTTTGGTTTAACACTCTTGCTATTATAAAAATAACTACTATTGCCAAATTTAGTAGATAATTACAAACTTTACACATAAAAATATACATAGTTATTAAAATAATTCTCAAATACTTCCTGCTTAAGTATTTACAGAAAAATAAGTGGTATTAAGTTATACAGAATAATTTTTTAAAATAAAATAAGAAATATAATATAATTAGTAAACATCAATAATCATAATAATATCAATTTAACTGTAGTAGACACCGAGCCTTGCTGAACAATTAGGGCAAGTATGTTCTACACTTTCAGGATCACAGCAGCAATATGGCAGACAAGAACACAATGTACAGATTCTGAAAATGAAAGTATTTTGATTATGGGTCAGTAAAGTATCATTGTCAACATTTAGTAGCAATTTTAATCAGAAATATATAATTAAAAAATATGAACTAAATTAAACGATAAAAATTAATGTAACATAGTTATCCATAAGGAGAAAATGAAATAGCAAATGAATGATACAAAATTTTGAATCACTTATGGCCAAGAATAGTTAATTAAGGTTTTTTTTGTTTTAATAAGTAAAGAAATACTTGATAAAAATTACTGAAGAATATGAAGTTTGTTTTATATTACATTTTTAGAATCACTAAAAAGAGAATTATAGTGTCTTTTCTTTAAAAAACTGATTTAAAAATTATCTGAAAAGTATTAATTTAATTGTTACATGGTTACTGTAAAGTATTACCACATTTTTTTTTTTTATTTAAGTTACAGGAATATAACCCTCCGAGGGGTCTGATAAGAAGATGGCTTCGGGACTTTCTAATATACAACTTTAATAATGGGTAGTTTCTCTTCATGTTGCACATGTCACGTTACCAATGTCTCATTTACTTGTGTATTTTTCATGTAACACAGTTGTAAATGCCATTAAAATAAACAAAATAATATAAAAAAAAGTTATAGAAATATAACTTTAATGTGGATTTATGTAAAACAAATTGGTTTCCTCCTATCTCAAACGAACAGTGGAGGTTGGAACATACCAAGATAAAAGTATAATTGCAGTATTATTTGATTTTAAATACATAGTTGTAATCTAATATTCATATTTAATTAATGAAGGTAAACATGAATCTCAGCACCCATTCTGGCCTCTTGTCATTCAGAACATTAAAATAAATTTATTTCAATAGCAAATTATTTATGAAAGGTGCTAAAATGTGTTTCATCAAGAATTACTTCATTGGTGTTTTGGACAATGAATCCTACGAACTAAGATAGAAATAAAGCTTTTATTTTATTTTAAACTTTACACTTTTGAGAAAAAAATATTGTAAAGGGAATTCACCAAAGTCAAATCTATGACCTTTTCGAGGACGTGGATATTGAAAGCTTTGTGAAAGTTAGAAGGTACAGATAGCTTTTCTGCAGCATATTTCGCGAGAATGGATAACTGAGAAATCGGATAAAAATTTACTACAGAGGTCCTTCATTTAAGCAGAACAGTGAGGAATTCAACCTTCAATAGCCTGACCATGTCTACACAGATGGGAGAAATCAACTCAATAAATCTGAATGGATGGCTGCAGCACACGACAGAAATCCTGAATCAATGATTTATCACTGCGCCATATATGGTGTTGTATCATGGTAATTTACGACAGTTTATTTATACTATTTCCTGTAATCAGTATATACTAATCAAAGTTCCTAACTCTAATTAAATTTGACAATTTTCTTCCTAGCATTATATATATGTGTGTGTGTGTGTGTGTGTGTGTGTGTGTGTGTGTGTGTTTTTGTGTGTGTGTGTGTGTGTGTGTGTGTGTGTGTGTGTGTGTGTGTGTGTGTGTGTGTGTGTTTGTTTTTGTATGTGTGTGTATATAAAAACTACTACCAGAATAGTGAATTTCGATAACATAACAATAACCATATCATGTTTTTACTTACACACTAAAAAACATGCAGCAACAACACAGATGTGTACAAGTCTTATTTGTTCTGGTTGTAACAGTAGTAATCCTCACGTTACAATGAGGGCAAGTCATAGAAACATTATCAGGCCCAAAAACTGCAGGACCTAAAACAAATTGTGTTGTTGACATTAAAGCAAGTTTAAAGCATTAAACAATCATAATAAAGAACTTTCTGTTATATTTAATTAATAACCAAATCCAATTTTAGAATAGATGCCAATTCTTTCTGTTCAAACTATTAACATTGTGGCTTTTAGTTCTGTCAGAAAGATGAGCATGGTAAAGTTATAAATAATAAGCTTTTGATTTCTTATTCTTGGATACCTTATCAATATCCCACATGATCTAATGATCCTAATGTCTATTGGCCCAAAAGTTTTGCATATTTTTAAGGTAAATCATATAAGTTAACAGCCAAGAGTATGTCCATCTCTTTTAGACATTTTTGATGCAGAAGGGGGCTCCCCCACTGGTTTTACTAGGTAAAAGATAGAATGACATACAGTTTCTTCAGACCTGTATAAAATAGAAAGCTACTTCCAAACCTAACATAAAAGCTGGAGTAGGTTAGGGAGCAGGCTAACATGTTGTGTAAAACACTTGCCCAGAAACATGATAAAATGAAGATTCAAATCCAAGTTCCGTGGAGACTTTTAGCCCTAGCATTAATCTCCTGCCCTCTCCTCTGGCCTGAGAAAAACTTTGCATAGCTGAGATGGGAAAGATGGCAAGAAAAAAAAACATAAAATCTGACAAAATACTTCTTATTCCTTTTCTTTTTTTTTTTTTTTTTTTTATATTGCTCTACAGCCTGAGGTGGGCCTTGGCTTCCTGGATTATAGCATGCCAATCATCTCTATTCTTCGCCCTATCCTTCCAGTTTCTCGCATCCTGTGTTTTAAAGTTCCTCTCAACATCCTGTAGCCATCTTTTCCTCGGCCTTCCTTTCCTTCTTGTGCCATACATTGTAGAAAACAATATTCTATAAGACAAACTGCTGCTCTCTAGTCCAGCCATGTGGCCTAAGCATTCTATGTGCTAAGTTTTAACAAAATGAACTATGTCGCTGCTATTATGTAGCTCATTTAGCACTGAATTTTTTCAATATTTCCACATAACCTCTTCACAAACAGCTCCATAAATTCTTTCAAAAATATTCAGCATACTAATTGTGCTTGTACAAAGGGTCCATATTTCCGCTGCATAAGTCACAATAGGTCTTACCAAAGCCTTATATAATCTTATCTTTGTTTTTCCTGACAGGAGCAATGATTGAAAGAATTTTTGGTTGGTATTGTACGCCCAGTTTTCAGCCATGATCCTCTTGCTTACCTCAGCAGAAATTTTATTTTCAAAATTCACCTCCACTCTCAGGTAAGTATTTTATATATTTTGATACACTCGAAGATGAGACCAAATATTTCAATGCTGTGAGGAGCAGCCTCATTGTCGGCCTTGACATAAATGTATTTTGTCTTCTTTTGATTAATTTCCAGCCCAGCATTTTCACTTTCGGATTTCAATATTGCAAAAATTTTCTTTATTGACCTCAAATTCCCGGTAATTAGGTATATATCGTCTGTGTAAGCACATATTTGCACCATTGCGTGAAGTATGCAACCAGATGAATCCAGTTTTTTTTAAAACATTATTAAGTGCAATATTAAAGAATGTAGCAGACAAAGCATCCCCTTGCCTAACCCCAGCTGTCATTAAAAAAATATTGCTTACATTGCCATTAATAATTACTTTTACATAGCTATTATTCATTGTCATTTGCAATAACCTTATTAATTTTTGTGGAATTTGGGACTCATGTGTGGCATTTATTAATTTGCTTCTTATCACTCTATCTAAAGATTGCCGGTAATCTATAAACAACATATGCAGGTCAATCTTATATTCCCAAGTTTTTTGCAATAGCTGCCTCATTACAAAAACTTGGTCAGTTGGTCCTCTCCCCTTCATAAATCTACATTGGTATTCCTCCAGTATGTTCTCAGCAAATACATTGAGCCTGACAGAGAGGATGTTTGTAAATATTTTACAGACTACAGCCAACAGGAGATTTCCTCTGTAATTCTCTCATTAGAGTTTATCTCCTTTTATTTAAAAGTTTATATCGGGCAGATCAAACTGGTGTACCACTCCTGAGGCAAGATTTCACTACTACAAACATCCTCCAACAGCACATGTATTTGGCTTATCAATTCTTCTCCTCCATATTTAAAGAATTCTGCAACCAGCATATGTTCCCCAGGTACTTTGTTATTTTTTAATTTTCAATTGCATACTCTTATATCGACAATGGCTCCGGATCATCAGCACACCCTTCCTCATCACTGCCAATCATTCATTCATTACCAATGGAGTTAAGCAATTCTGTGTAGTTCTCTTCCCATCTACCTAGAACTCGAGGCTCTCAACTACCACATCATTTTTATCTTTGCATCCGTCCATTTTTTACAGAAAACTCTGACTCATACATACACTTAACTGCTCCATGAAATTTCCTTCTTTCATTTGTTGCTCTCAATTCTTCAATCTGTTCTATTTTACTTTTCATAAATCCTGTTTCTTATTTCGAATAACAATCTTTGGTTTTTTCCTACTTTCTCTATAAGCTGCAGAGGTTTGTCTTGTAGAGTGCTGCATCAATTCCTCTTTGTATTTCACTTAATCGTTAGGTCTGTTAAGTATTGTAAACTTTATGGTCTTTTTAACATTCTATAGACAACCTTAGAACTTGCTAAATTGGTGGGTTTGATCAGAACTGAGTTCTGATGTCCTCCAGCTTTGAGCATGTCTAAAGAATATGCCCTATGTTTTATTTCCCAGTTCTACATCTGTAAAGAGAGCTTTTTCTAATACTGAATTTCTTATAAGATGCACTCAGCGTGTTATGACCAATCTTAATTCATTACAGGACAAATTGCTCTTAAATTTAAGTTTATTATAATTTAAGTTTAATATCAAATACAAGCCTAAATTACATTAAAAGCAAATGAAGCAATAATGAAATTTGGATTAAATCCTTAATAGCTTTCAAATGTCTCTTAAAATTAACAATAATGTTAGAAATAAAAATAAAATGTCAGAAGAAAAAATTAAAATAAATACAATCTATTCTCTCTTTGAATAATTGATTTCAAGTAAATTAGTCAGAATTTAGAAAAGTAATTTGCAAGATATTTCTGAAGCTACATTTATTTTGAAGTTAAAACAAAATTATTTTTGTCTGTTAAATGTCTAAAATCAGACTATTAATAATTTAGCTGTTTCTCTATAGAGACAAATTTACAACTCAGCCACAAAGTTAATTTTTTGAAGAGGTTTTATTTGCCTAATTAGTTATTATTATTTGATTTCATTTTTTTGAGGGGAGAGGAAGTTTGTTGGGGTGCATTCATAAATGAAATTAGATACAGATATCTTACAGAAGTCCCTTTTTATTGTGCTGATGTTTTAGCACCTCATCAGAGAAAAAATGAATAAAGATATAGGAAAGATGTAAAGAGAATATATACTATTACAAGCAATGATCTGCCTACTGACTTCAAGTGATATATTGTTTTGTGAGATCAACTTGGATCCCAGATATAAAGAAATCTATACAATCTAGACCTCACAGGGGATAATGTCAAGGTATAAGACATGATTTTCATTATTACCAATTCCTACATATTTTGTTTTTGTTATTATTTTTTTTTATTTTACAGCCAAACTAAATTCTATGGAATGGATGCTGTTTCGAATTCCTTCTTTCATGCATGCTCAGGCCATGCCATAATATAGTTGATAAGGGAACACAGTAAACTTCCCATTTAAATTTAATTTAAATAAAAAGCAACACAGCTGCGATATCGAGCATACTGACTATATATCTCAGATGCTAGGGAGAGTCTGCCATGACTGAAGCGTAGACACTCACACAGAATAAAAAATTCACTAGGCTAGCCAGTAAGAAAATTATGAATTCAACTGATTTCCTAAACATGGAGCAAAAAACTACAGCTGCCGGCAAGGAGCCAAGAAAGGAAGAGAGAGAAGATGAACAAGAACACTGACCAATATAAGAAAAGAAAAAATTGTAGGTATCCCAACCCACCTATATTCAAACAGTGTATAGATTCCAAAATTAACTAAAATAAAGCCATCAAGTTTATATTACCACATATTTAGTCCACTAACTTTAATTTTACAGTCCTAGCAATAAATTCTATTACCTGTATAATTATTATGTCAATATCCCTGACAGCTGTTGAAGGGAATGGCATAATAAATTAAATAATAGTCATATGCTAGTAACTGTATAACCCAATATATGTTGTCTGTGTCGATCTAAACACATTTTTCCTCTAAATTTAATATATTTGTTCTCCATTTTGAGCAGAAAGCATGTTGAAAAACTTAATTGAAGTATTAAAGGCTGTTAACTTATTGATGATACCCAGAGGAAGAAGATGGTTTTCAGCATCCAATCTACCCACTAGTTAAATAATGACTTACCTAAATACACTGCCTCACAGTAATTCCACTTGTTTTTATTTCAAGTTTACTTTTAAAATATCTATGTTTCTTTAATTTTATGTAAAATCCTAATGAAATGGGTTCCAAACATTACCAAAATGCTTCATGTCCTAGGATTGAAGATTTTAAAATAATTTCATTAACTTATGTGTTTTAATCTATTTTCGTTTTGTTAGAAACACCAGAACTAGGCACCATTAATTTTTATCTACTAATTATCATAATTTTTAAAATAAAACTTGACTAACCAGTATCATCTAAGTGTTTCTGTCAATATTTGTTGTAAATTTATTATTTAATCACGAACTTGTGAGTTTCTAAGAAAAATCTTTTATTAGCAACTAATTCAACAGAACAATTTTTTAATTTGTGTTATTTAATAATAATGATTATGTTATTAGGTAAAGTTTTGGTGTTCTAGAAGATGAAAATAAACAGAGCAGGATTTTATAATTTACAGAATAGTCTTGATAATACGAGCCCCTAGTAATCTAAAACCTCTGGTAATTCGAACAAGAAAGAAAAAAAAGTTAAAGTTGTGTGTCGAGAGACAGAATGGAAATGGCCCTGCTTCTCAGTATATGTTACTGGAATTGCTTTGTGTGGTTGTGTCAAACTCATATTGTGGTGCCTTTAAACGGAAAACATTAAAACTATGCTGTTATCTAGAAGTTGAGAAATCTTTTTATATGTGATTTTTGCAGCAGATGAGATCATGAAGGTGTTCAATTTCAGAGAGTAAATTAGATGAAAAGTCAAAGATTTTCTTTAACTTTTTTTTTAAGAAGGATGACAAAGCAGATTTTAATGCCAGTAAGATTTCAGGCTTGATAATTTCAAAAGCTGGTTTGGAATAAGATTTTTACATTTTTTTTTTTTTTATTTCACAGAAAAATTTCTCTACATCCATTATATTTTTCATTATAGATAATTCATAGAAACACCATTAAGGCATTTAATATTTTCTTAGAGAGGGCAGGATACAACGTCGGCTACCGAAGCCTGCTACTTTTAAAGAATTAGTTAAATCAGACATTTTCTTTAACAACAATATCAGAGACTCAATGTAAACTTTGCAATCATTTTTTGAAAAAATGTTTTTATTATAATTTTTTTTTTTTTTTTTTTACAATATGTTTATGTTTAATTGATAATAGAACTTTAACTTTTGATAATCTGAACAGGCCATTATCATGATCGTCCTGTCCTATATTTATTTTTATGATTCTAACTTGTTTTTAATTATTAGGATATAATTAGAAGATTTCAAATATAAAGATTAGAATCTCTAAAATATTGGTAAACCACCAGCCAGTAAACATTTCTCAAATTAAAGAGCCATGGGACAGAAAAAATCAGAAAAAAAAATCAAAAGGAACCACCTTCAGCCACTAAATTAACAGTTTTGATTTACAAGGCAAAATGGACTAGATAATCATACAGTTGAAATTGTCTGTTTCAGCAGAATGTTAGTTTCATAACAGAATAGCAAACTTAGACCTCAGTTTGCCAAAGCTCTGGGATCTACCGAAGAATATTAGGAAATGATAATCACATCTCTATAAAGGATTAAGCAATTATTCTTATTTTCAAAATTCAGCTGCATTATTATTTAGATTGAATGAGCTAGGAAACAGAAATACGAATAAACCCATGCCCACTTAGACAAAGATTGTGATAATAAAGAATTGCCTAGTAAGGAATAAGTAATAGCTTTTCCTCGTGCAAGAGGTAGAATTTGGAAAGGATTTCCGAAAAAATCTGTCGGAATAAACTTGAAGGATTGGACAAAGAGCAGACATTTTTCAGAATAAAGCCTTGACCGGAGAGATTTGGGAAGGCATACATCATAGACTTTTGAGTAGAGAAATTAAGATTTCAGCAGACTGCTTCACTTCCTAAGATATTCAGAATCTGCTAGTACCTTGACTTAATGTTAAGTTTAATGTTATAATATATGAATTGATATCGTAAATGACGTAATAATCATGTTAAAATATTTAATGTCAGTTTTCTAATCAATCTATTGGAATCATTTCTGTACATGTTTAACAAATTAAGTTTTTATGAAATGTTGTTACTTTTATCTTTCAATATAGTTTTTGTCAAAGCAAAGTAGCAGATTTTAGCAATCTACTAATTAATAAATTTGAATAACACAAAAACATCTTCCATATTGAATATTTCATACCATTTTTCATTAATAGCATAAATTAAAAAAAAAAAAAAAACCTGTACCACTACAATCCTTGAAGGGTCTTGCATTCAGTACTTTTTAGGGAAAGCACTATTTCTTGGTCTATGGTTGTGGAAGGATGTGATTTGACAGAGATCACTCTCAACCGCCAGGTTTTTCTCCTTAATTAATTATTATAATTAAGGGTACCCACTTTATAGAGGCTGGGTGTGCCCCAGGAGGATCTACCTAATATTTTTTCTGCCATGAGCCAGGATTCGAACCTGGGACCTTTAGCATTGGAAGCACAGTACCCTACCACTGAGCTATCCCAATCCCCAGCATAAATTATAATTAACTATAAAATGAATAATTTTGGATAATTATCCTCAATAATTATTCAATGACATATCAAATATTGAATACTACTATCATGGATATTTTAAGAAACCTTTTACTTATATTCATACCCAAACCAAGTATGTTTAATATCCTCGAGAGAGTGATCATGCAGGATAGTGCAAGGCTTGAATTTGATCCTGTGATCTTTACATTACTAAATCCATAGTTCTGCTACAAAGTTATTCTAAAACTCATTTTAAATAAATAAACTTTTGTAATAATACCACATTCCTACCCAATCTTATTAGTGGTTTACACTAAACTAATTTAAAACATAACTCCTCTAGTTATTTATTTTCCAATATTTCCTATTTAATTAGAAAATTTCTGCTGTCATTTATACTATTACTAATGAATCATAACAAGTATTTAAAAAAATAATAATGCTTTATTATATTAAAATTTAATTGAAAACAAATATTAAATACAATAACTTTCACTAAAATCTTTGGAACGATACTTCATTCATTCATTACTATTTTTGAAGATTTAAAACAAAACAAAAAAAAATTAAAATACATTGTCACTGGAGTCCTTAACTCATTCACCAACGATTTTATTATAACTTCAAAGTGTTACAAATGCTGCACACTTATTAAAATATTTAAGCAACAATTTCTTAGGTGTCATCACAAAAAAGAACATGAGATTTCTTTATATATTGAATGAAATACATATATTTTATAATTTTGCCATTGAGTTTCAAAAATATTTACCCATAAACCCACTTAAAATAAAACTTAAATCAATTGTTTTATAGAGAGAAGTTTCAAAATGCAATATCTTCTATTAATACTGGTCCCAACTTTCAGAAGCTGGCATTGCTGGCATAGCTGAAACATACATTATATTGTGTCAGTAGCTTTATGTTTTGCTGATCAGGAAATAAAATGTCTTAATACACATAGTTATATGTTCAATATCTAACAAATATTTTGAACAAACACAATTTTAAAAATATTTCGAAAAGGGAAAAAGACAAATTAGATTAATTAAAAGTAATAATAAACAAGTTATGAGCTGTTAGATGCATTAATATTATTCATTCACTACTGCAAACCTTTGGAGCAAATAAAATGTAATAAATATTAATATTACATTAAAGCAATGTTGATAGTAAAAACAATACCAGATGACATTAATTATCACTATCCTCTAATACTTTGGGTAAAATATATATACTTCATTTAAATTTAAAGGGGACCTAATTAAAGAATTATAATATTTTTATTAGTTTTTCATGTTTGACAAATAAATATTTCATTTGGAAACACATATTAAATATTATAATATGTGAGTCCATATACTAGAAATTATCTAGGATTATGGGAGCTCTACATAAAGAAGGAACAAAAAACACCTTTTTTTGGATTTACAACTTTCAGATAGCATTAAAAAGTTGCCTTTTTATATAAATAAAAACTTTATGAAATTTTGTTGTTCTACATTTATATCTTTAGGTTTTTGTTCAAAAAATTTCAATTTTTCTCTTCTTTAGTTTTACATTATTTTTATCAAATATTGGGTTAATAACTATCAACAGATCCTTCTTTATTATAATAACAATTACATGTAGTTTGGATGTTATAAATTTACACATGAATTTTTTACAAAATTTTAATTAAGGGATTTTTATCTAAAGATCAAAATGTTAATTTTGAGTTGAATTAATCTCTTGTAATTATTTTTCTTGCTTTCAAATTGTTGTTCAAACATAGTCCTTAAAATAATAATATTTAAAACCAGGGGTTGAAACTTTTATGGAACTTTATTAAAAGGTTCCATTTTAATAGTTAATGTGAAACTTTTTAGGAAAGAAGTCCTTAAAATAAAATTTCAAAAGAACTTTTTTTATTAAAGCTCTAGATTTACAGTATAAGTTTAACTTTTATTTATTTAAGTTCTTAAAAAAAAAAAAAAAAAGGGTTCCTTTGCATGAGAAATAAACAGTACTTGGGCTTAGATTATAATTATAATTTGTGTTAAGTTAATTATAGATGATTCTTATGTGTCATTAAGGTTAATCTTATGTGTCATCAAGTTAATTATAGATGATTCTGATTTGTCATTTGTTTGAATAGCTAATAAAATAAAAAAGTAAATAAAAATCATTTTATTGATCGATTTTTTAACAAAATCTGCAAAAATTTTAAATATTTTTTTTTAGAAATAAAATTTCTGTAAAACCTTTACAGGAAAAACCTCAAAGGAAGAAGTTCTAGTTCCAAAAGAATTATAAAACTATTGACAGTAAAAGTTGCGGTGATACCAATACTTTTTAAAAATAAAAGTTTTTTTCTGTTTCAAGCCATATTTAAAGCTACTTAAAACAACTTAATAATAACCATCAACTTACCTATCAATCATTTTAGGTTGAACAATGTAAAATTGATTGAGTATAAATATTATTTTTATAATACTTCTTTTGTTTTAATTATTAATTAGGACATTATCTTTTTTTTTATCATAGTGAATTGGTGTTCATAAAAAAACTTCATTTAAGTGAAATCAGTGAAACATTTAAAACAAATTGTTTGTTGATTGTTATTATTACTAAGTTGTTTTAGATATTATTTTAGTTTAGATATTATTGTTTTAGATAGCAGAACTGTGTTTGAACAACAATTTGAAAGTAAAAAAAAATAATCACAAAACATTACTTCATGTTATTCATATAAAGCCTATTTCTTTCAACTTTTCAAAAAATTTAGGTATATATTTAAAGCATCTTAACTTCATATTGTTGTTGTAGTAAAGAAGAATCTATCGATAGTTACTAAAATAATATTTTATAAAAAAAAAAAAAATGTAAAATAAAGTAGAGGAAAATATAAATTTTTTGCAGAAAAACCTTATTTCTACCTTTTCTGAAAGATCAAGATATCAGCATAGAACAGCAAAATGCAATGTTTTCATTACCATAAAAAATACAACTTTTAAATGACATCAGAAAGTTGTCTGCTGAAAATTGATTTTTGTTCCACCCTACTCTACATAGGTGACTTTCATACATGTCTCACCTGATTTTTTTTTTTCCCACAGCTATAGAATGAAGTAATAATTCTTTATAATGAAAAATTAAAGAACAAATTGATTTTAAAATACTTAAGCTACTAAAATCATTACTATTACTGCAGCTCTACCTATTTTCAGACACCATCGACCATTTTTGGAATTGCATTCACATTGTGATCATGTGATATTGTTCCCAACCATCACTTGTGAAGTATTACCATATTTCATTCATTATAATTATCATTTGCATTCATTGTAGATCATTGGATGCTGCTAGATAGTTTACAGACGGTTTGACCAAGTATAATATAGGGAAATGAAAATGATCTTGCTATTTGCAAACTTTTGTGCCCTTATTTATAAGACAATTATGACTTTTAGAATTTAAAAAAGTAAAATAAAAAGTTCTCACTGTTTTATAAAATAACAGCAATTATTATTATTTTATAAAAGTTGAAACATTTTTGATTAGATAACTATTTAAGATCTCAAATAACATTCGCTTATTACATACCAACAACTCCCACTTTGCCCACTACTTCCTTACCTCTCCTCAATCATTCTCTCTCTCTCACTCATCCTTCCCTCACACCATGCCATTCCTAGGAAAGGCATTATGCCCTGGGCTCCATTTACCAATAAATGGGACCACACAGCAGGAGATTTTATCTTTTAAATTAAATAATAACTTCATGGCAAAAAAAAAAATACGAATATTTTACTTTAATAAGATGAAAAATAAATTAGTAGATTTTTTAAATTAATCGTATTTATATACTTCAACTAAATAATAAATATTTATCGACTGTAATCTGAAAACCACCTGCTTAACTCAATAAGACAATAAGGAGTAGGGGTTCCCAGTGGACCCCCTGGGAACTTCCCACAGGGAGGTTTCATGGCGCAAGTTGTGCATCAAAATGTTTGAGGGGGGCATATTTTTACGGGTTTTTGAATTTTTGAAGGAAGCAAATTTCGATGGAGTTATGAATTTTCCGAGTAAGGGACAAGAGAAAAACATGGAACATACTGCAGTAAGTGTAATTGTATATGATCTAAAATATCTTGGTAGGTGGGGGGGAGGGTTAGGTTCTTGCGCCATCGACCTTGGGGAGGATGGGCACCTCTGCTCAGGGGGCACAAAAATGTTCGAGAATACTTGATTTGAATAAATCTATAAGCATAAAGATGTTTGTTGCTTCCTCCTATCTAAACGCAATTTCACAGAATGTTTGTAATTAGCTTTTAGAACCAGGTAAATAATCGTTTCTCGGAAGAGGTTATGCAATATTCTCCTCAAGATATTAACACCTATTGAGCAAGGATTATTCCATTTGCATTTTTTATTTTTCAATTATTATTATACAACTTTGCCAAGGTTTAAAAACAAATACGCCTAACATATTATACAAGACTGTAACTATAAATAAAATTACGACTAAGATAAGAATATTGATGTATACCAACCAGATGAAACTTCGTAAGCTGGTGCGGCTGGGGCTGAAAAATAAGATAAAATATGTATCAGATATTTATTTTTATAGTACTTGAAACAGTCTAGCTATTGACTTAATAGTAGCTTTGTAAATATGGTATATTAAAATACAGTCCAGGATTGTCACTAGTTTTCGCGGTGTCAACTATATAAACAAATATAATTTATCTACAATATGAATTAATAAACGAAATTTATCAACAAAACACTAAATAGTGCGTATTTCTACAATTCAAAATCTCTTCTTGTCTCATTTGCGTAATTTACTCAGCTCACGATTTATCTTCACCATAATTTAAAACTTCATTATTTGAGGATCATAATTTTAATGAGGGTAAAACTAAAATTCATTAAAAATAGAAATTTTCATTTTCAATTCAATTAAGTGTGAGACAAAAATAAAATAATGAAAATAGTAGATTAGTACAAGCTCTAATCCTGTAATAGCATTGTGTAACTGAGAAATAAACCAATTCAATTTTCCTCAGAATCGGACACTTTTATTATTCTAAAAAAATTTCATTTAAAAGTATGACTAAATATTTTCATAAGATGTTATGTAATGGGCTAAAAAAAATGTAGTATTAATTAAAGATATTAGTTAAAAGTGTTTTTAGAAGCATGTTGTATAGAAAGTCAATTAAGAATTTATATTTATTTATTGATAATTATTAATTAGTTTATTTTTTTCTTAGAATGGAATTCTGATGATGGGAGAGATTGAGATGAGATAAAAATGAATTTTTTCACAACAGAGAACAACAATATTTGGACGGCTGCTAAACTGTGCTGAGTTGCCAAACCACACAGTATATTCATCAGTCAACAAATGTTATTTATAACCGACAATAAAGTTAAACGAGAGGCAGGAGGGGCCATTTAACTTAATATGTCGAAATGAGTACAGAGTACAGAATAACACTTGCAAAAGCATAGATCAATTATGCGATGATGGAGGATTTCCAACGAGTCTAAACCAGGGGTCTTCAAAACTTTTGGTCCTCGGGTTACATCGAGACCTCCAATAAGTCCCGCGGGCCGCTTTGTGACCTCCACCCATGCTCCGCGGGCCATAACTTGTGATGAAAATAAAAATATTAGTCAATAAATGGCATTTCAGTTGTGAAATAAGCTTTCTAAGAGAAAAAATATATATACAACAGTTGTAGTAGCCTCGTGTATGAGTAATTTGCTAAATTTAATATATATTTTTTTTTAATTTTACCATGTGATCAAAGAAACTTTCGAGGGCCGTTGTTTAGATACCTCTGATCTAAAATATTAGTCTCTGAAAATTGTCTCCATCTGCTTCCTTCTAACACCTAGCTTCGGTAAGAAATCACTTGTAATAAGAGGGATGAATCTCCTAATTCCGGACCAAAGACCTTTAATTAAGAAGTTTCTGTCTCCGGCTTCATACATAATTTTTTCTTTTTAGTAGGGTATGCATCTCTTATAAATTTTCTCTTTCTGTGCTTGCACCAAGATAATATCTTGATCGTTTGTTTCAAATGTAATCGTGTTATTAACTACAAGCCCTTTCTTTTCTGTTTGCACGCTAAAATGTCAACGACCTTGCAGAGTCTACTGTATCTTTACAATAAATTTCGAGGAAACATGTAAAGTTGTTCATTTCTAGGAGTTTAGATAGCTCTTTCTTTATATAATTATGACAGCGTGTTATAAATATCTGAGTATATTCAAATATACTCTTTGAATCCTTCCGTCTATTTGACGTGACCACTCAATTCGAACTATCTCTTCGAACAGCCATGATGAAGGCGTGAACTTCAGTTCGAAACGTCGGCAAATGTTAAAATAAATATTATTAGTTATTTTTGCTTTTTTATTTTCTTGTTTGTTTGAACCTCTAATAATTATTCATTAGGCTTATGCGTAATATGAAAACTACATTTATAATGAATAAATTATATTAATTATTAATAATTTACTGTTTATTTTTATCCATTTTTTAGTGAATTGAAGTATTTCTATTACAATTTTAACTTTCCAATCTGCATAATCCATTTTTCAGGTAACGAAAAAATTAAGCTGTAATATTATGCATATTTATTAATTTTTGGCAATCTGTTCTGAATAAACGACATTCTATTGTTATTATAAATTAACACAATAATGCCTATTATAAATATTATGTATTAAGGTCGTTAAATATTATAAATTAACGACATTCTGGCGACCTTTTTAGGTACAAGGAGCTCAATGCATAGGCACAAACTGTCCAGTTTGGTTAGGAGGACAATGGACACTTTAAAGAGTTGAAAATTAAGTATAAAAATTATGAGTGATAATTAATTTAATCAACATAATTATTTTAAAACTAACAATAAACTACTATCTATAACAATATGTTTATAAATTAGTTTTTTTTTTTTTTTTTACGTAGTCATGTAGTGTTGAAAACGAAATAACTGCAAACTGGCCTACATTAATGACCATCGGTCATCCCTAAACATCATCAGGTACAAAAGTAATTTCATTAAAGAAATATGGCAAACGCAAATTGTATATAATCTTTCAGTTATTCTGTTTTGTTTTTTTTCTCTTAGAGGTAGAGTGAGTATATTTATCTTCTTTGTGTTGGTTATATCGTAACTTTCAAAGAACGGGACTTCCTGAGAGATACTGATGAAGAGCTTCATAAATCTTTCTGAAAAAAAAAACCTTAGAATTTGGGAACTAAATATTAAAAAGAAGGCAAGTATACCTCTTTGAAGAAAAATACAGAAAAACTAAAATGATGATAGCAGGAAGAAGCTCTACAATTAAATTATTGGTTTTATTTTTTTACAAATTTTATTTTTAATTGAATGGAATTTTTCAAGCCATGAAAATTGTGATTGTAACCATCATAGACGCTCAAGATAAGATTAGATAACATTAACTGTGTTTGTTATGTTTATAACGCAGATCATAATTTTGCAATGTAATATAAATCAAGGTGTAATTCCTCAATAAAAAAAGTTTAGTAATTTTCAGTTAGAATAATATAGATCGTATTTTAAAATCTATGCACTGAAATAGAACTATGAAAAAAAAAAACTACTGGAAAACTTTGTACTTTGTAGAGTATGCACGCTGATGTTTCAAAAATTAGCCACGAAAGTTACCAAAAAAAAAAAAAACTATAGTGACTTTGAATATTTAACTCACCAAAGGCTGGTTGGGCACTGAACGCAGCTGATGCAGGGTAGGCATCAATGATGGCAGCACCTACAAATCGGTTTTAGTGATTGAATATAAAAATATATATCGAAAAAATAAGAATTAATATTTCTGGACATAACTATGGACGCTAAAAATCTGATAAAATAGACCAAAACAATCACAAAACGACAAATGGCACATTACAAAAAACAATCAATATTCAATAACAAAGACAATCGACAATTACAAAGTTGAAGTAGGTAAATGAAGACGACAAAAGGTCAATGATGGCTGCTGTATAATTAAAATAATAAAAAAGTAGGTGCTATATTGGTGACCGTGGATAAGTATTACAATATTCATCCGGATTTTTAAAAAAAAATTCCGTGTATAGGATGTAAGATGTAAGAATGGAAAGTAAGATGCGATTAACAGAAAAATATATTTTATATGAGTGACATTTATTGACATCCACCCTTGCGTCTTGGCAAAACGGATATTGTTGGAAGTATCGCGTCACTTCTATCATTTATCCTATTAATTCTTTGTTCTTCAATTTCTATTTATTTATGAGGAGGTTGAAATTATTAACCCCCACTAATTCCATCCGAACAAGATATCTTCGTAGTACGGGAAGTTGTCTTTGTTTACTAGCTAAGGAATCATCCCCCTTCGATTCCACTGTCAGTGTACAAAGGTGTACTCTCGTATAATTCTTTTACCTTCAGGTGAATCTAAAGCAAAACCTTCCTTAGAAATTTTCCTGAAGACTTTTTTAAAAATGTACCTTGTCTTATATCGATATGTATGACATATGATTAAAGGCTGTCGAATTGACATTTATGGTTTGATAGACGAGTCAGGGATGCATTTATTTCTAAAATACGTAAATTAGTTAAGGAATAAACTAGGATGTGTGGACCACACTTCAGATCAATCTATCTCCTTATTACATCAATAAGTTCAGGATCTCACCAAGCTTTCGTGGCTGTTGCAAGATTGACAATTATTTAAAATGAACAACCGATACCAATGACTTTTTTTTTTAACTGATCATGAATTTTAACTGAAATATTGTAATTAATTTTTTACCACCCACTAATACAGCATATTAGAACCCCTCAATGAATTTCAATTTGCTGTTTTAAGAATCTCACAAACAGCATGACCGAGACATTGACCGAATCTATTAAATGTCTAATGTAACATGTCAGAACCACTCCAGCCATCTTAACCTTTTAGAACATCCTTATTCATCCCACCCATTCTCTATATTTTTCGAATCACACACATTGAGAAGCATTAATGGGTTTAAGGTAGTATCTTTATGATTAGGATCTCCAGTAATATCTTTGAGAACCCTACGGCGAGATAAAGAAAATAAAGAAAAGAACCGTACCATGGTAGATTCGAACAAGCACATTAAAGCTCATTGACTTGCGACAAATAACTCACCATTCCAAGATGCAGCAGCAAAGTAAGGTTTTACATAAACAGGAGAGGCACTCTGTATCGTCTTGATAGGCGGGACCTAAAAGTAGTTTTTAACAATTTTTGTTAACTTTGCCTTATGTACATAATTTAAGCCTTAAAGATTTTTTCTATTGGTGAGAATTAATAAAAATAACAGAAATTCTCGTCAAGTTGCATTCTTTAAATTCACCGAGCATTGTGACAAACATTTATTTTATGTTACATTAATTAGGTAATCAAAAAATAGACAAGTAAACAGTTTACTTTTTTAAAATGTTTATCAGTATTTAAAACTGCGGAATAAACATTCATAATATTGCGATATAAGTGGTTAGAAATGGAACATGTAACTAGATTGAACGATATCATGTTATATATTTCTTTCATATACCAATTGTGTCCTATATCAGTTAGTCAGGTTGTAATTAATAATATACTGATTTCAAAGTAACACAAATTATTAATATTTAAACCTGTTTTCGCCAGATCTGAACAAACTTTAGTTGGTTAATAAATAGATTTCAATCATGGATGTCTAGACGGACTAAAACATGAAAAGGTGACATATTCGAATCCCTTACTTCTTCTTATTGTTTTCTTTAAATATTAAATAATAAATAAATAAGTTTAAAAAGATCCCACAAAAGAGAACTCTGGTTTTTTTAATAAGTTTGGTCAATTGTATTCCAACACCCTGGTCTTACAACGAGAAACCCTGGTTCCTATTCTAACAAAGCCCCGAAGTTCTTTTCCCGGGCGAAATTGTTTTAAGGTTTTAATACATTTAATTTTACACACTCAACTATAAACAGGTTACTCAGGGAACAACCTCATGAGGGGAGCTTAAAATAGAAGATTACTCTCAAATCTAGAAAAATATACCACCTTGATTTATTCTAACAATCAGATTGCTTATTATACAATGTGTCCCGTAAGTAGAAGGAAATATTCAAAGGGTTGATAGTAGAGATCAACATCTACAAAAAAAAATCATATAAACAATCTCGCGATTTCTAGCAGAAAAGTTAGAAATTTAAGATTTGTGTTTTTTTAGCGAGCCACGTTTTTTGTTGAATAGGAAGTGATAATTTAAAAAATATAAAGAAACCTACTGATTGCTTCAATTGTTTTCATTAAAAAGTAAACATTACGGCTAGAAACATTAAGTTTGTCACTTATAAATAAGGATCAATTCCTATAACGGTAATCTGGGAGAAACAAATAATTTCACAAGCATCTTACATGGAAAATCATTATTTTTAAATTTTTATTCTTATAAATAAAATGTATTTCTAGACATTTATGTTTATTATAATACATACCATAACTCGGAAAAACAATAAATAAACCGTTATTTATATTGAAAACATGGGTATTTTCAGGTGACAGAATAGATAATCACATCATTTCTTTACACAACTTGAGATGAATAATAATTTTTTCTCTAATAAACCTCAAATTAATTAATATGTACTTACAGCTTATTAAACAGGGAAGTTTTTCTAAGAGTGGGGTAAATATAGTTTAAGGGTGATTAAAAAAATCACAAATAACTTATGACTTTTTTTAAACGGGACTTAGCTGTGTTTGTCCCCCCCCCCATAGTCCTCTTTAAATAGCTTTAACAATGACAAACTCTACTTTCGTTTAAAATAAATTTTGTCTAGTTTACTATGTAGCAATGTTTAATTACTTAAATAGAATATTTTTTAACTTATCGCTTCCTATTCAACAAAAAACGTTACTCACATAAAGAAACACAGATCTCAAATTTCCTTCTTTTGTGCTGGAAATTGGGTAATTGTTTATATGTACTTTTTTGTAGATCTTGATCTCTACTATCAACCTTTTAAATATTTCCTTATAATTTTATTGACGGAACATCCTCCATATATATTTCCAATCGCGAGCTCTAATTTGAAAAAAAAAAAAAACTTGTACTAGCACAACCCAAAGGAGGTCTTGGATCCAATACTTTGTAAAAAAAGTATCGTTTCAGGGATAACAGTTTTCCAGAAAGGTGATTGCTCCGAAATCAGGTTCAATCACCATGTTTTTCTCCTTAATTAATCATTTGATTGAGAATTCTAACTTTATAGAGGCTGGGTATGTCCCAGCAGGGTCTCCTGTTGCCAGGGTCGATTCACGGCTAATGTAACAGAATAAATAATTGCTACAGCCAGATTCGAACCCTGGACATTGAGCATTGGAAGTTTGTGCCTTACTGAGTTACCCCACTTCCTTGCTAATTTGTTAGTTGATTTTAATCTAATTAACTATAAAGAGTTACACTAAAAGATTTCCCCAAATTCGTTTTCCTATAGCTTGATCCCCTTTTAAATACTATTTCCCATTCAATTATATGTATCAATAAAAGAAAATTTTACATAGATAATCAGTATTTTTTTATATTAGTATAATATAATCGAACGCCTCCTGCTGAAATTTAGATGTGCATGGTTTTAAAAATTATAAATGGCTATGTGATTGGGGATCCCGAAAGATTAATCTAGTTTATAGAAGTTATTGTTTTATAATCAACACACATTATGAAATGGCTACTTTATAATAATAGATAATATTAAATAATATTAATACTTCATAGGAATGTACCTTCAAATTAAGTATTCAATTAGTATTAAGTAATTATTTAATTACTGTCATAGTTCAATCTGAAAAATTATCATTTGAATTAACGAAATCTTTAAAAATTAAAAAAAGTCAAAAAACATTTCTCTATTTATTTATATTAGGTTCCCACAAGTAAAAGCGTGTTTAGTAACGATCCATATCGACCTGCATATTTAATGAAACATTGCATGACTAGAAACAGTAGAAAGAAATTTAATTACTATTTAGGTATATAGTATGTGGGAATTTAGCAAGATATTACCCAAATCTTCCATATAGATGTACACTGCACAGTTAACTTTTCAAAATTGATAAATTACGAAAAAAGATAAAATAAAAAAAGTGACAACCATAACGCCTTCCATTCCTTGGAAGAATAAAAATGGAGTTCTATCTCTGTTTTGATAAATAAGGTTTATATTTCAGTGTAATCTACAGGTAGCGTTCTGTAACAAAATATCTGACTGAAATATATTGCAATAATTTTTTAATTAGTTGGCTACCATAATTGAATAATGGAGAAAAAAAGAAAAATGCTTATCCAGGTCGAAAATGAATCTTCGGAAATAATAGTCAGAAGGTATACGTATAATATATCGTTGGAAAGCAGAGAATTTTAGAAAAAATATATCAAATAAATGAAGTTGTAGAAGGTAACAGAGAGTGACAAAAAAATATATAAATAATAATTTCTGAAAACTAACATTATTTAATGTAAATCACATATTTCCAAGGAAATTAAATGAAAGTTTCTTACTAAATTAAAACTTTTGATTTTTTTTATAAGTTTGAAAAAAAAAGGACTTAAAACATTGTATAAAATACTATTTCATTGTACTTGTGTGAAAGAAGAACTGAAATATAAATATATTTCATGGATATGTTTATAATCTTAAATACATTTACTGTAGTTTAATAAATCTAGATCTGATATTATATTTAAATAATTAGGTATCTATCCGCCGTTTATTCCGAAAAATCATCAAGTAACTTTTAGAAAATTAAATTAATAAATAATTTGATGTATTTTCCCTTTGTGAAATCCCAACATTATCCACTTAAAATTAGTGTGACAACTTGTGACCTATCCATGGCAGGCAATGAAAATCTCATAATTTCATTTTAGTAAGTTTTACAATGGAAAATAACAGTTTAATAACTAATAGCCCTAAAATCCGTAACCATTTATAGATGAAATATTCAGATATACTTTCAAAGGCATATATGAGCCTTTCAGTTGGCAGAATGACTAACTCCAATTTTAACGTTCTTTATTATTAATTTTATTAGTGCTTCTAGTGGGAAAATTCACACTTGCTACTTACTTGAATTGAACTGAATACCAGGTGAAATGACATATTAACAAAAACAACACAAATTCACATGCAGGATTGTGGAAAGCAATAATTCGGGTTACAATGAGCTAGAAAATAAAAATTTCCTGAATTCACAAAGGAATGAAGAACCATAAATCTTAAGCACTGCTTCACTAATTATAGACAAATAATAAGCCTCACAGGTGAAATAGGACTGCATCTAGTGCTTGGAATATTTTTTTTTTGACAACCACAAACTACCTTGCGATTTTCAACACATAACTCACCATAGGCTGGTGTAGCATCGTATGTAGCTGATGCAGGGTAGGCATCAAAAGCGGCACCTACAAGAGGTTTTTAGTATAAATATAAATAAACAGCTGTCCATGGAATATTGTTCAATTAAATATGAATTACGACAATCGATCAGTGGTCAGATAATGGGTATCTTATATACATTATTAATATTCCATTAGATTATATTTACATTCGATTGGAAAATTGAAGTTCGATTAGGTAAGGTAATAAGGTTGATATTTAAAGAAAGAGGCATAATAGATAGTTACAGCCTAGAAAGAAGAAGAAAGAAGAAACAGATAGGGATAAAATAGGAGGAACAAGACGGAAAAAAATTTAAGTGAGTCAGGGGTGGACCAGATCTCATGTCAGGAATTTTTTTGACAATCACAAACTACCTTGCGAACTTTAAACATAAAACTCACCATAGGCTGGTGTGGCATTGTATGTGGCTGACGCGGGGTAGGCATCAAAAGCGGCACCTACAAGTGGTTTTTTGTATAAATATAAATAAACAGAAATTAAAGAAATATTGTTTCATTTAATAGCAATAATAATTAATTATGGATGCCACAATAGCTGGCAAGATACAGTGAGAAAGATCAAAATTCGAATAGATAGAATGAGTGAACGAATTAGGACATTATTTTTTTTATTTCCGCTACGAAAAGGAATTTTTTTATAATACTCTATTACATAATAAAAGACCAAAATATTTAATCATAACTATATGTTTGAATAGTCCTGAATTAAAAAAAAATAAAATAATATCCTATGGCAAAAATCCCTCGAGAACGTAAAGTACGATTTTAGACTGGCAATTGAACATGTGGAAAATGGACACTATACATATTTCATTATTGTTAATTTCGATTGAAAGATTTAGATTGGACTAGCTACGGTAATAAATGAAATTTATGAGGAAGAGGTTTAACAGAAAGGTAAAGACTGGAAAGAATCTAATAAAGAAATATGTTGAAATTCCAATAGAAGGCACTAGACTGGATTTTCTCAATGAAACTATTTAAACCAGTCAGGAGCAGACCAGATGTAGTTTTCAGGAGGGGAACTACTAGGGCGACCACAGAATTTGGGAGAAATATTACCTTATCTATAAGAAAAACTGTAATAAATCGATGGACTACCTATTTTAAACATCGAACTCTTTTAAGATCGATTATCATTGACACAGACATGGTAATTGATTCACGGATGCGTCTACTAAGATCGATTTCTTATATTATATACTATCGGTACTAGTAGATATATTTGAAGCAGATTTTTCGTTCCCAAGATTTATTTTGGTAGGGACAATTTTTCTCTTCTCGTGGATCCACCCATGATGTGGGTGAGTATTAAAAAAGATTGGTCGGGTTCCGATTTGCAAGTATTTATATTCAAAGTTCAAGTCAAGTTTAAGCTTGAACTACAATCAATCATTCATGATTTTCGTGGTTAACTGTAGTTGAAGCTTGAACTCTAATTGTACAACTGGTCCTTCGTGGTTTGAAGGTATAAGAACAAAGACAGTATTGCCATTCCAGGAGGAGGATAAAGCCAATAGAGAGATATGAGTGTGTACTCAACATAATCATATTTATTTATATCAAATACTTAACACAATATACCAAAGATGATTCTTGTACAATTCATCATTCGCTTTAATCCAATTTCAACTTCATCTGAAAGTAATCAACGACTAGTAAACCTTAGTCAAAGTGGAAAAAAAGTAAGAGAGGAGACAAGATGCTTCAGAAATAAAAAAAAAAACGAATGGCAGGATTAATGTTTAATATAACAGCGATTAAATACCAATCAATTTAATGTAAATTATTATAAACTGAACTCACGGCGTATTGAGATTTACTAATACGCGGTCTTGTTAGAGCATTAAAGTCGCCACTAGTTATGTAAGCTTTTGCGTAATTTATCATTGGAAACTAATATAATGCGGTAATCTTGTTCGATGTAACGAAATCTACACACTCTTAAATATTGTATAAGATATTTTATTATATTTACATACTTGTATATTGTAGCCGGACATACTATTTTGAAGTCAGTTCATTTTCGTTTTTATAAACTGCTTTAGCAGATTCAAATGTTCTTTAGGTTACTTCTAACTGATTAATGTAACATATTCCAAAAACTAAGAAAGATAGTGGAAAGTATGTATTAAGAATTTGGTGAATTAACTTTTATGGAATCAAAAATAGCGTCGTCAGTCAGAAGTTTTCAAACGCTCTGAAACTATAACAAAATTAAAAACTGTTTTGTCCCACGTATGACATCGCTTATTTCCATAATGTCTGATTATTATCTTTGAATGATTAAATATGATTCATTACAAATATATTTCAGATACGAACAGACTAATGCCTTATTGAATTGTTGTACAATACAGAACATTGTTTTAGTAATATTCTCAGAATGAACTTGATTCTAAAGAAGTTGACTTACAGCTATCTACAGATTAAAACTAAATCTTTAAAAATATTTTTTGTAATAAAAAATTACCAAAATTCAAAGTATAGTATTTCTATAAAATTTATTATTCTTATACTATGATAAAATTATTAATAATTAACATTATTGTATATAGGTATACCTTTTTTATGTGTTTTTTTTTTAAATTTACTTATTAAGTTATTTTCGAAGTAAAGTAGCTCAGTGGTAGGGTACTGAGCTTCCAATGCTAAAGGTCCCAGGTTCGAATCTCGGCTCATGACAGATAATTATTTATTCTGTTTAATTGGCCGTGGTCGACGACCCTGGGTAGGTAGAACCCTCCTGGGGCTCTATCAGCCTCTATCAAGTGGGTACCCTTAATTGAAATTAAGGGGAAAAATATGACGGTTGAACGTGATTACGGTCAAATCACCTCCTTGGAATACCTTAGACCAAAAAATAGTGCTTTTCCTATATAGTACTGAACCCAAAAAAACCTTCATGGGTTATAGTGGTACAGGTTTTTTTATAAGTTATTTTATTTTTATTTTTTATAGGTTTTTGATTGTTATTTAGCTGTTATTTTGTTTTCTGTATACATGGTGTGAATGAGTTCTTACCTCACTATAATTATTGTCCGTGTGACATAATTTTATATTACTGACTAAAATTTTTAAAAATTTTGTTAATTAATAAAATTAAAAATTAATAATGCTGTTACTATTTATATATATATATTTCTTCATAGACATTCAGAATTACTAAATGTTTTCTATTCGATTTTTTTAGATATAAGCTATATACATACATAGTTTACTATCAAATATTATTATACCTATATAATATTAGGTAAGTATACTTATTAGAAAAAAACCGTTAATGTTTTCAGGTTGTTTTTAAGAAACTGTGTCCTTCGAGTCAATAGATCAGTCATGGACAATGTCTACCTTGAATCAAAGGTGTCCCAGCTATCGTTACCAAGTTTAGATAATCTTTTATTTGCCATTTCAAATTTTATCTAAATTGATTTTATAAGTTAAATTTTCGCCGTGAATAATTATTAAATCCATTAAAGTTTAGTATAAAAACAAATAAACAAACTTTTTTATTTAATTTTTAGTTTTCATTAAATTAAAAATTTGACTAAATTATTTTTTTTAAAATTAATAATAACAATAATATCCAAACAATTTTTTTTCGTTACATGTGGAAAAATGGTGAAATTCCATTTAATTTTTGTATGAGTTTTTTTTTAGAAATTAGCAAAATCCTTATATCAGAAAATGAAAATAATAATTTTTAAGCTTTCAAATGTGACAATATAATAAAGAAATATCCTGAATGAAATAAGACAACAAACGATCTATTTAAAAGCTGTCCCGGAAATTAATATTAAAATATATATTTGAATTTTATTTTATATACTTTAAGAGTAGTAACATTAATTTTAGCTTTATCAATATATGATTTTGCAATGTAAAATGTAAAACTATAGATAAACAGCTTTAAATTTACACTTACTTGCTGGTGTAGCCATTGGCATCGGTTGCTGCATAGCAGGCATAGCTAAAAAAAAAACACATTAATTACAAAAAAAATGGAAAATAATATAGCATATGTTAAAATCCTACAACAACAAATAATAATCATCTACATACCATAAACATCAGGGGGCGGTGCCGTCGCGTATGCTGGATAGGCTCCAGTCGCTGGATAGGCCGCGGGCGCTGGATAAGCCGCAGAAGCTGGATAAGCAGAAGCCTCGTATGGTGGAGCTGCTGGATAAGCTGGAGATGCTGGGTAGGCAGACATATCTGATGGACTGGAATCAAATAAAATATTATTAATTAATTTAATAATTAAAAATCTAATTACAAATAAGAGATAATTATTATTATTTAAAATTAATAATAATAAAATGAAAAATACGTTATACGCCATCACCAAGAAGGTCTATAAAAGGAGCCCTCGAATATTCGAGAACGGAAGATTTATTCCTTCGACAGGTAGCTACTCAATTGTGATCATTATTCAGAGACCTAAGAAGTATTTCTAGCAGAGAATAATATTTAATTGCATAAGTGTAACCCTTAGGTTTGTAATGTTCAGATTATTACTACATCAAAAGATAAACATTTTTCGGTTGGTACTATATTGTAATATGTGTACAATTTTTATCTCATAGAGAAAATATCACTAAAATAGGAGATCATTGTATGAGGTAATGAAATAAAATTTAAATATTCCGATAGTTCTTCACCGATCGCTTTAAAATATTGATACATCATTTTTTGTACAGGAGTTTTTTTAAATGCATTTCATTGCCACAAGGACTTCCGTTTCAAACTGGCAGCCGAAAAACGTGTGTCGCTAAAGATTACAGTGCCAAAACGGCTGTAACGATTTTGTCTAAAGTCTTCTTGTTGAAGTCCTTCAACAATGAAAAAATATATAAGAGAAGAAGAAAATGTTGAAAACATGCAAATTCATACATATTTTCTGTAAATGTTCAATAATGATTACAATTGAATTTCGACCACAGGACGAACACTAGATAAATATACTTGCTTTAATCTTATTGTATATTGTTGTAAAGCCAATGTTGTTTTATACATGTAAACAGATTATGGTTTAAAATTGAAAAAAAAAATTTAATAATAATATAAAATCAATCACGCTTTGACAACGCAATAACAGATCAATTTAATTTTGTGGAGTATTTTACACGTGATCTGTAAAGCTTAAACACAGGAAGATGTCTGGTTTCCAAGAACTCTACTATATCATTGCTCGAATTATCATCGTCTCTGATAATATACTTGTGTGATAGCAAATACAGCTAACAAAGAAAGTACAGTAAATTTTTCGTAACACTATATTTTTTTTAAGTTCATGTTTTAAATTTTGTATTTATTCCTATGTACACATTTACTTGATGTATTCATACTAATACAGTTGTAAATATCATAATAAAAGTTAAATAAAAAAAAATTTATATTCCTATAACTGACAGGTTTCGTAATCGGATTTTTAGACTGCTGTGTGTTTTCGTACCTCTTGAACGGTTTGACCGATTTGATTATATAAAATATTTTTCCTTGAAACATTTGAACTAAATTCGACAAACTGTTCGCAATAGGACCGAAAAACGTGTTCTTTTTTTTTTTAGACTGTAGAGACCAACCAAAACTTTTGACGAACATACATTTTTTAAGACCATTAAAATTTCATTTATAAGATTGCTCGAATAAAGAATCAAATAAATGGATTGAATAAATGAGGAGGAATTTCATGAAGGAGTGACGAATCACAGTCACATCCTCCGAAATTTTATAGTTGATTGGGATCGATTTTAAAGATTTCTAAATACCCAACAAAACAAAAACTAAAACCACCGAAATCGGACCATTATTAGCAAAGATACAACCTACAATATTGTACAAATTTTATGGTTTATTATAATGAATGAACAAATGTGATTAGACTGAGAAAAAGAAAATAATTTTCTTTATCTCATAATACATCGCATTAACTTATTTCTATATTAATTTGTCAATTGTTCAGTGACCAATACAGTATGCGAATTATTCGTACGTATCAGCTGCAAATAATTAAATTATTTACAAAATAATATTAATAATACCAGAATATGTTTTTAAAGTACTTTTGAAGCATTTTGTGCATATTCATATGGAAATGTTTAGGTAATCCAAAACTAAACCTAACTATACGTTACCTACATTGAATATTTCAAAAGCTCGTTTAAAATAAAATTAAATGCTTTACTAAATTAATCAAGAAGAAACTAAAAATAAACAAGTCGGTAATGAAGTCGTTTGAGCGGGCATATTTTAATTTAACGATATTTTAATTTAACAATAACCTTTATATTTAATTGATTTAAAACATGGATAATTATTTTTACTGAATAATGTAATACTTGCTATACCTCGAAGGACGATCTGATGAGAGACTAAATAGTAAACTAAAAATTAAAGAACCTTATGAAGGTAACCAGTTACGAGTGTGTCGAAAAATCAACTGGCTTAGTTTTATTACTGATAAGTCTTTTATGGAAAAAATCATAACTTGTTATCAACACATGAGAGATAAGATACAAAGCATGCCATACGAGAGGGCTCGAGAGGATGAGACAGCCATATAAGTATTTACAATCGAATAATGAAAAACAATTAATTAATTAAAGGAAAATTTAAAAAATAACAATCATAATAATATTTGATTCCTAAATGTTAATTTAGGTAAATGAGTAAACAAACAAAACACAATAACGATAATCATTTATTAAATAACAAACTAAATTATACGCAATGCAATATTTATCCGATCAAGAGACAGTAACAATTTAAAATGTCGGTTCATTTCATGAGGAAAAAAATATAATTTTCTAGTCATATCTTTTAGGTTCGGTGCCATTTTAAAGATTTTTTAAAAATTAAAGCGTTATTACACTATGTATTATTTATTCGACGTTTCGGCTTCAAGAGCCATTTTCAAGATCCTGCAAACTAATTTCCTTTTTTCCTGCTTATTTTTTTTTTTTTTTTGTAATTCCCATTAGTGTGGCCCAAATACGAGACCGAGTCTTGGTCTTGCAAACTCAGTCTTGGTCTAGGTCTTGGTCTTGCGCAAGACTCTCATAACAGTCTTCCAGTTACCTATTAGCTTATTACTAGAGAGATTTTACTGTAATTTTTAGATATAAGGAACTTAACTAAGTCTGAATGAAAAGTTATAAGAGTTAAATGCAGTATATTGGTTACACAAATTCTTTACATATTGTAACTAAAATTTTCAAGTATTAGTAACTATTTCGCCCCAATTTTTGTTTAAAAAAATTGATTTTTTTAGAAGTCTTGGTCTTGGTCTTGCAACAGATAGGCGGTGTTGGTCTTGGTCTTACAAAAAGCGCGAAACCAAAACCTATTTTGGGTAACACTAATTCCCATATTCAACATTGAATGCCAAACGTCGTTTGCATTTTAACTGTATAATTGATCTAACACATGAAATAATTTATAGTTTCTAAAACCGAAGTCGAGAAACGGTAGACTATCGATGTATAAAATCTTAGTAAAAATCAAAATTATCTCCGAATATGATATCGATGTAGCTTGATAAAAATTATATCTATTTAAAATAAACCTTCTTCCTTTTTATAAAAATTTTTACATAGGTAATCATCATATAAAATTTATAACATATTCTGTTTAATATATTTTCTGACTAAATTATTTTCTGATTTACTACAATTGCAATGGTAGACCGCAAATGATTAACTAACGCGATAATCTCGTTGTTTTCTTTTTCTTTTTTTTATACGAAATAGTAAACGATTGAACATATTGAAAAATAATAGATGTATTCATTGAAATATTTATATGTTTTCTATCACTTTTAATAACCAAGCTCACCTGTGCAAATTGAATACGATGGAATTATATTCTTATGGTATTTTTGATTGTTATTAAAATATATATTGCAGATTATTAGTATAATATATGGCCAGATGTTGATGAAAGAAGAATCCCTTTAAACATTTCCTATCATCGTATTACTAAATAAACATTAAGAAAGAAAATTACCTTGTATCAATACTGCAAAAAGAACAGCCCATACAAAAGGCACAGTTGCGATTTGATCCTAAGTATTAATCTATTGATCAGGACCATAAAACCTATTCTCCTTATCAGCGAAGTTTACTGATAACGGATTCCATCGCACCGATTGGCTGGCTCAAGTGTTTGCGTCTGGTTTGACTCGACGGGGACAATATCCAACGCGAAGGAAACCGGGCGTTATCTAATAGATAAGCGTACACTTTCTGGAAGTTTTATTTTTAGTTCTACCATGAGTAGCCTGTGGAGTATATATTTCTTTAAAGTATTTATCTAATAATATAATGAAATCATCAAGTGTGTAACAGAGGAAGGAGGTCAGTCGGTTGCTGAGATCGGTGACATGTGAACAGTCAAACATTTTTCTGCATTCATTATTTCAAAAAGTATTTCTACGCTGTCATTTCCTTTCGGTTGTTCTTCTGATTGCAGCTACGATTTAATACAAATGACGTTAAAGCTGCAACTTGGTTCCAGGCTAGTCTCTAGCTGGTAGGACATTGTTAATGATCTTCGGACAAATGAAGTGTCATACTATTTTAAAAATTTGTATGACCACAATATTAGGTCGACATCAAAAGTTAAGTAAATTTAAAAGAATAAATAAACATTCAAATAAATTCTTACAAAATACAAATTTAAGGATAGTTTTAAGAAATATTATTTCGATCGACAACTGTTATAAACTTCAACGCACCAAATCAATACATACACTCTAGCAGAGCGGAACTGCCTCAGCGACCTTAAAATAGAATTACCGCTTGATTGCCGAGGAAGCAGGCAGAATATTAACCAACCCTCGTGACAGAATCCCAACAGAGAATTGGAGGCTACTAAAAATAGAGCAGCTGACGTCAGGTTAAACAAGAGAGAGTCCTTCACGGTACCAGCGGACAACCAGATCGTCAATCCATGGTTCGACTGTTTAAAAAAATACAGTACGATAGGCGAAATATGAAATAAATTCAATTCTTTAACGAACTATGTCTTGCAAATTATCTTTGAAAAAAATGTATATCTTTAGCTACTACCGTAGTACTTTTCAAGGGCAATTAATTTTCTTATATATGGTGTCTTCAAGGAATACATAAGCCCTTATACCTTCAATTTTTTTTTCTACTTCTAACGACGTTAGTCAATTAAAGGAGTTAAACAATAGAGGGAGGTAGAACTTTAGGGGAGTGACAAGCATCAATAAATGCGCAAACAATGAAACAGAGAATATGGCTATTGTGTGTACTACAAATAGTTTTTAAATTAAATTATAACATGGAAATACATTTTATAAGATAAAAACAATTTTTGATGACGAGATAATGAGCTAATCAGCTCGAAACGTCGTTGGAAGTAGAATAAAAAATTTGAAAATATAAGGACTTAAAGACAACACATATAAGAATATATATTGCCAATTATTACTAGCTAGAATCAGTATTTGTTGACGCCAAATATTTTCAAATATACCAGGGTTTCAATACAGATCCCTCTCTCTCAGGGAAAATACTTGATCAAAATTTCATTCAATAATAAAAATTTAAAAATCAATCTGCTACTTGAGTGTAACTGCTGTCTGCACTCAACTCCCAACATTTCAATCTCGCTCCCCCGAACTCTCCTACCTACTGGCCCACTGATCCTAACCGTAATCCCGATATCCTTGATTTCTTCATCCATAGTGGTTTAGGTCCCCTAAACTATTCCATTGCACGCCTTGATGAACTTTCCTCAGACCACAATCCATTAATATTCCAAGTATCACTAGCTCCTATTCCTAAACGCTCTCCACCGTCCTTCATCAGAGGCCCAGTCAACTGGAAACTCTTCCATCAAATCCTTTCCGATCAAATTGACCTCAGAATAACTCTGAAAACCCCAGAAGACCTTGACAATGCTGTACATTCCTTAACCACCATCATTCAACAAGCAGTCTGAACTGCTTCCTCTCCTAATCATTCCCCTAGAACTCCAAAGAAAAATAAATTACCTCATCACATCCTCGACCTAATCCATACCAAACGCCGTACCAGATTGCTATGGCAACGTACCAGACATCCCACTGACCGCAGCTCCTATAACTATCTCTGTAAGCAACTAAAGCAAGAATTATCCAACTTCAAATCCCAATCCTTTAACTCCTTCCTTACCTCCCTCTCTGCTCACGACAACTCCCTCTGGAATATCACCAAAAAATCCTAAAAACCCATAATATTTCCCATCCCTCCGTCGAGGTGATGGCTCCTGGGCGGCGTCTGATGAAGACAAAGCTGAGGAATTCGCCAAACACCTTTCCAGTGCATTTACTCCTCATCCCGGATCCAATCTGACCCACACTACAATAGTAGAAGAATTCCTTTCTTCACCAATTCCACTCTCTTTACCACCAAAAGCACTTCATCCATCTGAGGTTAAATATCATTTACAAAAACTATCTTCCCGCAAATCTCCTGGATACGACCTTCTAACCCCACAGATCCTTCATCAACTACCACCCAAAGCAATCATACTCCTCACATACATATACAACTGCATCCTAAGAACTACCCATTTTCCTCTCTTATGGAAACAATCCACCATCGTCCTTTTCTTGAAACATGGCAAACCTTCCAATAATACATCATCATATAGACCAATTAGCCTACTCCCAATCCTTTCTAAAATTTTTGAAAAAATCCTACTGAAAAGAATCCTATCCATAATAGAATTCCAAAACCTTCCAACCCACCAATTCGGATTTCGCTTCCAACATTCAATTGTCCAACAAGAACTCCGACTTGTTGACCACATATTCTCAGCCCTAGAAAGTAAAGAGTATTGTTCGGAGGCATTCCTGGACAATGCTCAAGCTTTTGTTCGGGTATGGCACGCCGGACTGCTCTTCAAGCTCAAATCCCATCTACCCCATTCCTTATATCTTATCCTCTGATCATACCTCTCTGACCGCTCCTTTCAAGTTCGCTATAGTACAGAATCCTCCAACTGTCATTCAATCAAGGCGGGAGTTCCTCAAGGCAGCGTCTTGGGTCCCGTCCTCTACATTCTGTTTACCGCTGATATTCCTACTCATCCTGAAACACTCCTGGCAACATTCGCTGATGACACAGCCATCTTATCTTCCAATCCAGATCCTGAAATAGCATCCTTAAACCTACAAAGTCACCTCTCTTTTATTGAACACTGGTGTAATAAGTGGCTAATCCAAGTAAATGAATCCAAATCCAAACATATTACTTTTACCCTTCGACGCAATTCCTGTCCACCAGTCTACTTCAACTCCATACCACTTCCTCTGTCAGACACAGTCCGGTATCTTGGCTTTATTCTAGACAAAAGACTAACATGGAACCCACACACCAGGCTTAAAAGACAACAACTTAACAGACGATACGGACAACTATATAGATTATTGAATAGAAAATCTCAACTTTCAGTCTACAATAAACTATTAATCTACAAGACAATCCTGAAACCTATTTGGACCCACGGAATAGAACTGTGGGGGACAGCAAAACTTTCTAACATCAAACGCATTCAATCCTTCCAGTCTAAAATCCTCCGAACAATAGTCGATGCTCCCTTCTATTCATCCAACAAAACCCTCCATAACGACCTTCATATCCCATTTGTTATTGACCTAATCCCAGAAAATTTTTCCAAATTTCACCAGAAACTCACTCATCATCCAAATCCTTTAGCACAATCCCTATCTAGCTCCAGCCATCCCTACAATCCTCCCCGGAGGTTAAAACGGCAGTGGCCCCGCGACCTTTTGTAAATATGTATATATTGGCGTACTGACAATGGCCAGATTCTCCATTCAAGATATGAGCGTCTGTTGCTATAGTGCCCTCCATCAATTTCCACTAGTTTCAAATAACAGTGACGCGGCTGAGAGAGAAGCACTGGGATCTCCTGGAGTCCTGCCTTGGCTTCCACGTAGGGGAATAAGGCATGACTCAGAGTCCCCTGGATGAATGTAAATATTGTACATAGGTGTGAATGTGATTTATTTACTTTAATTTCATCTAGCTTTTATCTATTATTTCATTTTTTTTTTTTTTTTGTACACAGGCACACCAATTTACTTATTTTATTTTTTTTATATTTATTTTTCTTTATTATTGATATTAATTGTATGTACATATTGTGTGAATGAATCATGTAGCCTTAATATTAATGCCCTTCAATGTGACAGAATGTATTAATATTCAATAAAGAAAGTTAAAAAAAAAAAAAAAAAAACTTGAGTGTAAAATATGCAACACAACGGAAAAAGAGACACTTTCTCATTTATCATTTCAATATATAATAGTTTGAGAGGAAGAATTTGTTATGGGTTTATTTAGTGTGTAGTTAATTTACTACGATACTTATTTAGAATCGGAAATCTTAATGGTACAGAAATATTTAGGCCAACCACCACGGAAGATATGAGTAAATTATATATGTTTCATCTTTAATGTATCTAATTATCAAGAATTGGTGTTTTTTTTTTTTTTGTTTGTTTTTTTATTCAGAAATATAATAATCTGTCACACGGACAATAATTATAGTGAGATAAGAACACATTCACTCACACCTACCTATAAAAAACAGAAAATTAACAAAAGTAAAATAATAATCATAAAAACTATATACAATAAAAAATAAAATAACACAAAAATAAGTAAATTAAAAACACAGTCATACCAATATACAATATAAACAATCAGACAGGGAACCCAAAGCTAGGCTTATCCCTCCAACTATAAAGACAAAAGCAGAATTCCAAGAGATCTGCAAGAGATCCAAGCAGGAGGACCCCTGCGTTACTCTCTCAACTGCGTCACTGGTGCTAAAGCCAGTGGAGATTGATCGAGAACGCTTTCGCTACATAAACTTATGCCTTGAGTAGAGAATCTGGCTATTGCCAGAACTCCAAGATATATACTACAAAAGGTCTCTGGGCCACTGCCGCTTCAACCTTCGAGGAGTATTGTAGGGATGAGTTGAACTAGATAGG